TTATGACCCTGATTGTATGAAAAATCACGTTTTTAGCTTGTGGTCCCCCAAGTTGTCACAGTTTTTGTTTGATTTAAAAAAAACGCTCTAATATATCACCTTTGCACCATAATGATGATTGTCTTCGAATTCCGTGAAAATCCGACTGAAACTGACTGATAAAATGGGCGCTCTAGGTAGGCAAATACTGCAAAAGTATGTACTATCAAGGTTGTGGACCTTCTAGAGGTCACAATTTTGATCCGATTTGGATGAAACTTAAAATATATGTTTATATCCCAAAGATCTCAGTTCCTTTCGATATTGTCGCATGTTGGACAATAACATACTGGATTATGGCACCTGATTGTACCAAAAAATATAGCGATTTTAGCTTATGGATCCTGTAGGTCACAATTTTTATCCGATTTTATAAATCATTTAACTATATCACCATTACACCCTGATGGTGACGGAGTTCGAATTTCGAAAAAATCAAACTGAAACAGCCCAACAAAATGACCACTCCTCGTACACAAATAGTGTAAAAGTATGTAATACCAAGGTTGTGGACCCGCTAGAGGTCACAATGTTTGTCCGATTTTGATGAAACTTAAAATATATGTTTATATTTCAAAGATCTCGGTTCCTTTCTATATTCATGCTCGATTGATGAAATTTATCATTTAAATTTGTGAAACGGAGGTCTATTGAATTTCAGCAATTTCCGTCAATTATTTCTAGAGTTATGGCCCTTGTTTTACTTTGTGAACCTTGTGAACGTTTGAATGACAAAAGTTATCCAATATTTATGAAATTTGTATTTTCTGTAAATTACTTCCAGAGTTAAGGCCCTTGTTTCAGTTTGTAGAACCTTGTGAACTCTCAAACGACAAAAGTTATGATCTGATCTATATGAAATTGTATTGTAAATGCCCCCAATTACATACAAAAGAATAAATATGCAACAACCCTTGTCACAGCTCGGACGATTTAGCTGCTGTGGGTGTATGTTTCGTTGCCTGGCAACCCATCATTGTTCAGTATCAGCAGATATCGACTTGTCCGTCTTTTTCCTTGTGAGATTGAAAATTCTGTTCTGAGAACCAAATTCTGTGATTTCTGCATTATATTTCCACAATCGATCACAGAAAATCTGTAGCACCGTGGGCCTTATGTCAGACGTAGAGAGCGGACACGTACTAAAACCGGTCGCCACATCCTACGTACGACCCATGTATCTTTTCTTACTACATATCTTAGTAGCCTTGTGATCGACAAGAATTTGTCTCTGGTTGTCTTTCTTCCCCTTCACGTTGTGTATTTACCTCTTACTGTTTTCTTAAGACGTTTGTTTTCTCAGTAGTTATAACAATGCCACAGTTCGTTTTTATATGCCCACATTGAAATGTGGTCGTATATTGTTGTCGCCCCCGTCCGTCTGTCTGTCTGGCGTCCACAATTGCTTGTGGACGCTCTACAGGCTAAAGTTAATATCCGATTGACTTTTAAATTTATACACAGTGTTTGAGGCCGTGAGATGAAGAATCATATAAATTTTCAATGATTTCGGATAATAACTACCAAAATTATGGCCTTTGATCATTTTGAAAAATCTTGTGACGCTCTAGAGGCTAAAGTTATCATCCGATTGACTTCAGATTGATACACAGAGTTTAAGGTCTTGAGACGAACAAGTATATTGATTTTCAATGAATCTTTATGACTTGAACAGCTAAATCCATGATGTTAAAAGTAACGTTAGCATGGGACAGAACTTTATAAAAACCAAACAAATTCTAATGGTTTTCTGATAATTACTTAATAAGTTGTTACTCTTAATCAGATTTTAATGTATTATAAATGTTTCATTACCGAAAAATGTAAAAATATACGACAACTCTTGTTGACTGCCCTGACGATATAACTGCCGTGGGCGTAAATTTCGTTGCCTGGCAACCTATCTTTACATTTTATATAGCAGAGCCGGATACATAGATACAAGCATAGTATAGATTACATAACTTAAGTCATTCTCAAACCCTAGCCAGCAAGACTCGATATGGGCAAGTCTGCTGATAAAAATTGCTACAGCTTTCCCCTTCTGGAATCAAGCTGCTGTCAGGCAATCGCCCACCAATATGATCGTTTTGTAGCTTTAGGTTTTGGACTTTCAATTATCTAATTGGTCAAATGTCATGTAAATAAGTATAGAGATTGGTCAAACAAGCCAAATAATGTAATCGTAATTTTCCATCACATGTTTTTCGACACAATCTATCCTTGAACTTAGAACTCTTTCCTGTTATTCTCACACTATTTCATAAACAATTAATTTGCGTTGTAAATAAACTCATACCATAGCTACTATACTGACAATAGAGAATAATTTGTAAAGATAAAAATGTTGTTTAAACCTTCTTATTTCTCTATTCCTTGTCTATAAATTTAAAACAATGTCGCAACAACGATATTGCTACAAATCATCACCCCTAATAAAGCACTTTCAATAAAACTTTAGAAACAATAAGATATTATTATTATTATTATTAGATTTTGATATGTATAAACATTTTAGAAAACTAGACTAAGCTTATTATTTGTATCATTCCAGGTTCAGTATGTCTTCTACTCTTCGCCAGATTGTCGCTCAGGCAAGACATTTACATAAATATAATATAAAAGTTTTATCAACCTGTGTGACCAGTAATCAGGTGAATAAAGGCTGTTTCATAAATAATAACAGTAACAATGTCATTACAAGTGTTAAAAACCCCTTAGTTAATCAACGTAGATTTTTATCAGAAGATACAGAAACAAAATCAGTAACAATATGGCAGGATCTTAAACAAATCAAATCGTCTCCAAAACCAGCTTTAATATTAGGCTTCTCAGGACTTATACCATTCATATCGGCACCGTTATACTTCATAACATCACAAACATTTTGTGCTGATATGGCCTTTGCACAAATGGCATATGGTGCAACAATTTTGTCTTTCCTTGGTGGAGTTCGATGGGGTTTTGTTATACAGAAAGACCATTTACTAAACTGGTTTAACATGGGATATAGTGTCGTTCCATCATTGATTGCATGGGTTGGTCTTTTATTACCCTTCCCTGCAGCAATGTTAACAATGATAACTGGGTTGGCTGCAACAGCTTATTTTGATACAATGTTGCGGGGATATCCATCCTGGTTTAAGGGACTTCGGTTTACACTTAGTTTCTTTGCTACTCTATCCCTGTGGACTACGTTTGTGTGTAGATATGTTTTAAAAGGTAAAAATCAGGATTCCTTACAGGAAAAGAGCCCTTGAAAATATTCATTTAGAATGATTTATTGTGAATTTATAACATTTGTATTGTGTTTTTGTTTGAGGAAGTCTGAATCTTTATAGAAAACATATCACTAATTTATTATTGATTGATATTTTTAAAGTAGTAATATTGTTATCAATCCATTTAACTATACTCATGTCCAATCTTTGTTTGAGGAAGTCTGAATCTTTATAGAAAACATATCACTAATTTATTATTGATTGATATTTTTAAAGTAGTAATATTGTTATCAATCCATTTAACTATACTCATGTCCAATCTTTGCTTAGTGTAAAAAAAAAATATATTATAGCAATGAATGAACAGGTTTCTGTATATGAAAACCTCTTACATATTCAGAGATAGATTCTGTTTACATTCAGTGATGTTATCAAGCTTAATCAAGGGATAATAAATATGTATATTTGTCAGTTATTATGATTAAAGTATAATAACAGCAAGTTATTCCAATTGTATAATTTTATTGCCACTTTAAATTTTCAGTTATAGCATATTGTTTCATGGAATGACATTTTTTTTTTGCACAAATAAATGGAATTATCTAAATTGCGTAATAGTTATTTTTGAGATGTTCAACCACAGAAAACTAGTCGTGTTATCTGGCATTGCATGTTAAGATTTTATCTTCATCTTTGTAGGATCCATAATAATACACTAATCCTAATTTGTTAATTTCATCATTAAATACTACACCAAACACAAAATGGTATTAGTAGAACCTTGGTGCTTTAATTTCTGCTTCCACAGAAGTAATATCGCAGTATGAAGTTATTTTATATTCGTTTTCAAGGGCACAAACCTCTTGTGCAATGTGGATAACTGCAAACTGGACTTTTGTCTCCTGGACTTCCTTTCATTCCAGTCAAAAGTATCAATGATCACTGTGGATTAAATACTCTATCGAATACAAAATAAATAGCACCATTAAATATCTTGTAAATGAATAGTTGGTGGCAGTGCCCGAAAATGAACTACATAACTTTACCACAAAATAACTGTAGTAAAATCTTGAAAAATAACAACAAAAGGAGCAGTTTGAGAACTAGACGCCCTGAATCAAAATCAGAATTGTGTGATTTTCTGAAACTCTGAAATTGGAAATTACATCACCCCCACCCAATGGTCCATAAAAGTCCTGGATTTCGGGCAGTTCATTTTGCATGATTGAATTATTTTCATATTTTTCCTATCCACTAACATTTTATATTTTTCATAATTTGGCCACTGCCCGAAAAATCTGATGATTACCCTGAAAAAATTGTTTTGCACGACTCCGAGAGGGAGTTTTAAGTATGACTGGATCAAAAATAAACTACTGGTATAAAACAAAACTTGAGCATTCAATACTAAGGGTGTTTGTGCTTTAAAATTTCTAAGTTGCCATACTATAGGATTTATGGAATCTTGTCGAAAATGGGTCAATTGCCGAATTATATTTTGTGCAATAATGTTACTTTGAAAATGTGATTAGTATCAAAAACAAACACAACAGTTCTATGGATAACAATTACTGTATTTCTAAATGTTTATTTTTAATGTGTTCAATTACTAAATGCCATTCAAACAGTGATTAGTATCCTTGAAGAGATATTTGCATTTAAATTAAACGTGCACTTCCAAGTAAAAAGAACATTAGGTGTGAGTTATTTCCCTTATCCATGCTCTCGTGTGTAAGAAAGTCCCATAAGGTACCAGTGTAAAAAAAACCCATCAACATTATATTTTAAGAAATTATTAAAGTCTGAGTGAAATGGAGAAATTTTTGGTAAAAACTGACAGGAAAAAGGTAGCAACAGATGAACATGCAGTTAAAGTTTTGCTAAAACAAACTACAATAGAATCTTTGAAGGTATGTCACTATCAACTGACTATGTGCTTATTGTAAAATTGGGTATCGATCTAGTATTTCTGAAGTCTAATCCCCCTTGAAATGTACCCACTTGATCCAGAGATGGAAGGGTTAAGGGGTTGAGGGGTGCTATTAAACAGACGGACGGACTATTTAGTTATTACTAGGGTTACATGCAGCCACTACTCTACTAAGCGACATGCAACATACAATACATAGCAAAGCTTACATATATCTCAGCCCAGTATTAATAAAAGACTAAAGCTTTCTACTTATTATAAGCAATCCAAAGAATAAACACAAACACAAGTAAGTCCTTCTTCTATAGCCTAGATCCACGTTGTACTTCCAACCGCAGTAGCCAAAAGTAGAAGTAGTCAAAGTAGTAGCGGGAATATGGACCAAAGCAGGCCTTTATATAAAACCCACCATGCACGTGCAGAAAAGGAATAAACGTCACAAACGGGCTAGTCCATTTCGGCACAAAGGGGAACTAGCTCACGTCTGCAACATGCTTAAGCAATCCTGAGCTGAACCAGAACAATACCTAATAATAATAATAATAATACACATTGCTACCAGTTGCCTTCTATTGAGGACTTGATTGAACGAATTTAAAGTTTCTTTTGGATAATATTTTTCTTGACCCATATTTCATTGGCCTTTGTCTTGGGCAGAGGATAATCGCCACAGTTCCTTTGGGCCAGTGGCGCTATTGCACTTTCGTACCTCTACCAGTTCCCGTGGTCGTAGGCACTTGAAATTTTCAGAGGATGTTAAGAGGGACTAGCAATGACCATACACCAAATTTCAGCCGAATCGATCAATAACTTTTTATTTTACCGACCTTTTAATTTCTAACGAGAGAGAACTTCATCCGTTTGACGCTATTTGCTTTGTTTACTATTTAGACTCGAATAACAAGACACTAAGACGGAAACCGACACACTGCACTAGCTGCCTAATACTGCAGTTCATAAAAAATAATATAATTTTCGTATACTTTAATTTTTGCGCGAAGCCACCATTTTCTATCAAATACTATTTGGTGTTGATCAGTGGATTGGCCTCTAGGTGTGAATATTGCCGTAACCTTGATTTTGACCTTGAGCCCAAACTTCCCATCCATCTCGGGCCCTTTGCATTTATGCTTGCCTTGGCCTTATTTCTTACTGTATTATCAAACTTAATGTTCGAGGTGAAAGCAGATACGACGTCCTTCAGAAAAGATAATTGGGTCAAAGTCGTAGGTCAAGGTCATCTTACAGAAAACTAAACTCAAACTTTTCAAAGTCATTTTTGGGACATTTATTATTAACGCAAATACATGTACGCAATACTTATATTAGTGTATAGCCATACCACCGAATTGTTAGCGTGCTGTATCATAAAGCCTGTCATTAAGTCAACTGGCGTGGTTTTGATTTCACGGTTGTACATGACAACGCAAAGGCCCTTATATCGATGGGAAGTTTGGAGTCAAGGTCAAAGTCAAGGTCACGGTTGGTTAGCATTGACTAGTGGAGGTCACCATGACCTTTCACATTGACAGCGCCCATTGACTTCCTTTCGGACACGGGTCCTCTGCGTTTGACTGTTTTCTGACCGAGCAGTGTGCAACAGGGCCAGCGTAAACGTCGATGGTTCAAGCCAAGATGATGGGCTTTGAAAATGGTTATGGGGTCAAGGTCGTAAGTCAAGGTCAAATGTCCCAAAACTGACTTTAAAAAGTTTGTGTTCAGTTTTCTGTAACATACCCTTGACCTACGACTTTGACCCAATTATCTTTTCTGAGGGACGTTGTCTCTGCTTTCACCACAAGCATTAACTTTGATAATACAGTAAGAAATAGGGTCACGGCAAGCATAAACGAAAAGGACCCGAGATGGATGGGAAGTTTGGACTCAAGGTCGAAGTCAAGGTCACGGATGGTTAAAGGTGACTAGTGGAGGTCACCACGACCTTTCACACTGACCACGCCCATTGACTTCCTTTCGGACACGGGCCCCTCTGCTTTTGACCGTTTTCTGACCGACCAGTGTGCGACAGGACCAAGGTAAACGTCCATGTTTCAAGCCAAGGTGATAGCCTTCGAAAATGGTTACGGGGTCAAGGTCGTAAGTCAAGGTCAAATGTCCCAAAACTGACTTTGAAAAGTTTGAGTTTAGTTTTCTGTAAGATGACCTTGACCTACGACTATGACCCATTTAACTTTTCTGAAGGACATTGTCTCTGCTTTCACCTCAAGCATTAACTTTGATAATACAGTAAGAAATAGGGTCACGGCAAGCATAAACGCAAAGGGCCCGAGATGGATGGGAAGTTTGGACTCAAGGTCAAAGTCAAGGTCACGGATGGTTAAAGGTGACTAGTGGAGGTCACCACGACCTTTCACATTGACCACGCCCATTGACTTCCTTTCTGACACGGGCTCTTTGCGTTTGACCCTTTTCTGACCGAACAGTGTGCGACAGGACCAAAGTAAACATCGATGGTTCAAGCCAAGGTGATAGCCTTCGAAAATGGTTACGGGGTCAAGGTCAAATGTCCCAAAACTGACTTTGAAAAGTTTGAGTTTAGTTTTCTGTAAGATGACCTTGACCTACGACTTTGACCCAATTATCTTTTCTGGAGGCCGTCGTCTCTGCTTTCCCCTCGAACATTAACTTTGATAATACAGTTAGAAATAAGGCCACGGCAAGCATAAACGCAAAGGGCCCGAGATGGATGGGAAGTTTGGACTCAAGGTCAGAGTCAAGGTCACGGATTGTTAACGGTGACTAGTGGAGGTCACCACAACCTTTCACATTGACCACGCCCATTGACTTCCTTTCTGACACGGGCTCTTTGCGTTTGACCCTTTTCTGACCGAACAGTGTGCGACAGGACCAAGGTAAACGTTGATGGCTCAAGCCAAGGTGATAGCCTTCGAAAATGGTTACGGGTCGTAAGTCAAGGTCAAATGTCCCAAAACTGACTTTGAAAAGTTTGAGTTTAGTTTTCTGTAAGATGACCTTGACCTACGACTTTGACCCAGTTATCTTTTCTGAGGGACGTCGTCTCTGCTTTCACCTCGAACATTAACTTTGATAATACAGTAAGAAATAAGGCCCCGATATGGATGGGAAGTTTGAACTCAAGGTCAAAATCAAGGTCACGGCAATATTCACCACTGATCAACACCAAATAGTATTTTATAGAAAATGGTGGCTTCGCGCAAAAATTAAAGTATACGAAAATTATATTAATTTTTATGAACTGCAGTGTTACGCAGCTAGTGCAGTGTGTCGGTTTCCGTCTTAGTGTCTTGTTATTCAAGTCAGTTTCTGTCTTAGTGTCTTATTATTCAAGTCTAAATAGTAAACAAAGCAAATGGCGTCAAACGGATGAAGTTCTCTCTCGTTAGAAATTAAAAGGTCGGTAAAATAAAAAGTTATTGATCGATTCGGCTGAAATTTGGTGTGTGGTCATTGCTAGTCCCCCTTAACATCCTCTGAAAATTTCTACGACCACGGGAACTGGTAGAGGTACGAAAGTGCAATAGCGCCGGGCCAGTTTGGTGCCAGGCCTCAAATTATATTTCACTTTCTGACTTTCGAACCGCAACCAATTCCTGTGGTCGTAGAAATATTCAGGGGATGTTAAGGGGGACTAGCCATGACCTCACATCAAATTTCAACCAAATCGATCATTAACTTCTCATTTTACCACATTTTTAGCTTTCTGCTGAGAGATACCTTTATCTGATAGATGCCATTTTGTTTGTTGGATGTCAGCTGTTTCGTAACCTTGCTGTTTCGTACTTAGTTCATTCGTACCTCACATGAGCCGTTTCGTACCTTTGTTAATTTCAACTTTTACATGCAGAAAATCAACAACAAACTTCTGGACGAATGAGCGTGGTAGGATATTTAGAATTGAACGGAGAATTGCAACATAATCTTTTTTGTGGCAACGTGACATAACAGCATACAGGAATGGCACTTGTTTCGTCTCTACAAGCCACTTACAACCGTTTGTGCTGCCACATGACCTTTTGAAGCTACAGTAGCTAAGTCTCTAACTCGAATTATCCAAAATCTTCGACATTAAAAAGACGAATTATTAGTCAATTTAAATCAACATTGATGTTGTGATCTTACCGGGAAAATATTGGCTCCAATATTTAAGACAAAATAAACATTTCATGTAAATGTTTGTTTGTTGTCTACATGCCGCATTTCTTAACTATCATCTCAAAACTTCGCATACTTATTCTTTGTAACCTAAGGAACATCCCTATCGTTTGGGGTGCAAACGTACCCTGTGCGTGTGTCTGTGGGTCGCCTACAGAGTGCAATTCTTACTCGATTTTCTTCAAACTTTGTTTTCTTATTCCTTATACCCTATGGATGATCCCTATTGTTTTTGGTGCATGCCCGACCCCCAGGGGCAGAGCCACGTCATTTTCTTTCTGTGTGTCACCTACAGGCCACAATTCTTAATCGATCGTCTTGAAAAAAATTTCATATGAATTCCTTATATCCTAAGGATGATCAATATTGTTTTTGGTGCATGCATGATCCCCAGTGGCAGAGCCACGCCCATTTCTTGTATTCATTGTTTGTCATCTACAGACCGCATTTATTAACGTATCACCTTGAAACGTTGCATACTTACTCTTTCTATCCTAAGGAACATCCCTATTATTTGTGGTGAATGCCCAGCCCCCAGGGACAGAGCCACTCCCATTTTCTTTTTGTGTGTCTGTATGTCACTTACCGCCTGCAATGCCTAATCGATCATCTTGAAAACTTTTTTATACTTATTCCTGATACCCTAAGGCTGACCCTAACAGTAGGACGTTAAACTCCATTTCATTTGATTTCATTTCTATTATTTTTGGTGCATGCCCGACCCCTTGGGACAGAGCCACGGCCAATGTTTGTGTGCCTTTTGTGTCGCCTACAGGCCACAATTCTTAACAGGTCCTTTTGAAACTTTGAATACCTATTCCTTATACCCTAAGGATGCCCCCTGTTGTCTTTTGGTGATTGCCCAAACCCCAGGAGCAGAGCCACACCCATTTTTTCTTTGTGTCTCTGTGAGTTGCCTACATGCCACGATTCTTAATGGATTGTCTTTGAACTTGGGATATGTATTCCTTCTAGCCTAAGGATGGCAACTGCATGTCCCGACCCCCAGGGGCAGAGCCACGCCCAATTTTTGTGTTTATCGTTTACAGGCCAGAATTCTGAATGGATCAACTTGGTACTTGGCATATGTATTCTTTATAGCCTAAGGGCATCAACTATTGATTTTGGCGAATGCCCCGACCCAGTTTTTGTATTTATCGTCTACAGACTGCAATTCTGAATGGATCATCTTGGAACTTTGCATACTTATTCCTTATACCGTAAAGACAGCAACTATTTATTTTGATGCTTGCCCCGACCTCCTGGGGAAGTGTCACACCCACTTTTTTGTTAGTATTTTGTCTGTAAATTTGGCAAAACAAACCCAACGCCTAGCCTTCTTTGCCTCTGAGTCTGATCATATTACAGCCATTTCATATTTGATTCTCTTCATTTAAAAAAGTACCATATCAATCAAAGCTGGAATGTGGACGTACATTGCAGCGTTAGCGATGCTCTCGTTTTTATAAAGTTTGCGTTGCAACCATTTTTATTAAATTTATGTAGCAGTTGGATATTATTAAATCGTCATACGTTTCTCCTTTATTTCAACAACATGTAGCAAAAGGTGCAAATCAATCTGAGGTAGGAAGTGAGATACGAATGAATTAAGTATGAAACAGCCAGGTTACGAAACAGCCTGTACCCTGTTTGTTGACTATTAGACTGAACAACAAGACAGTAACTAAGTTGGATTCCGATACACTGCACTTCCTGCCAAATGCTGCAGTTCATAATAATAATATTTTTTGTATATTTTTATATTTGCACTAAGCGACCATTTTCTATACAGGTTGTATAAACGACCATTGGATTGACCATTACATGAGAATATCGCCATGACCTTGACTTTGCCCCTGACTTCAAATTTCCCCTTGTGCTCGGGGCCTTTACACTTATTTGAGCTATGCTCCAATGTCTTGCTGTATTATTGAGGTTAATGTCCGGGATGAAAGCAGAGAAGATGCCCTTCAGAAAAGGTGAATGGCTATTTAATATTCTAAGGAGGGATATGGGGAATTGATAATACTAATTTACAAAAACATCTTTTTCTGGATGATGTACGAAAGTTCAGCCTGTCAACTAAAGAAATAGGGGAGGCACATTGTGTATCGCTATGTCATGTGTGTGAAATACCATTATTTAATGTCCGTTTCCAACGAAAGTCACATCGCTGACAATTAAATATGGAAATAAATTATTTTTAAAAAGTAATAAGCATAAAAAATTAACAGATTAGTGATTTTTTTTATAGATATGCCTGTAAGTGTAACGGGTCTATATTGTACAAAAGCACTAGGGTTTCTTGATAACGCCGTATGGAAAGTTGACTGTGTATATTATACTAGCATTACGAGAAGGTTAGATTGATGGACATACATACTAAGGGACGATGGAAATAGGGGTCTGTTCCAGAACGTCTGAAGAACAAACTTTTTCACTTATCAGCAGACTGTCAGATTTAATGGGTCGTTAACTATATAAAAGTAGCAAATAATCTGTAGAAAGAATTGCCTTATTAATGAGGTGTTAACTATATAAAAGTAGCAAAAAGTCTGTAGAAAGAATTGCTGTATTAATGGAAGGTTGTGAAAATGGGTTGACCTATGTACAGGACTTTAACTGTGTATTTGGGGGGTTGGATGGCCAAATGGTTAGCACGTGAGCATTGTATCATAAGGTCTGTCATTGAGTCGGCTGGCGTGGTTTGTTTCCGGGTTGTATGTGACAAGGAGTAGGGTTGCCTGTTCGACCATGTGGGTTTTCTCCGGGGTCCTCCAGTTTCCTCCCACTGCTAAAGTTCCATACACGCAAGCGAATTATCGAAATAAGGTTAAACCTTGTGTTGGTCCCGAAATGACCTAGTTTGTGTTGAGTGGACCTTAAACCCCATCTCTCTCTATCTCTCTCTCTCAAATCCTTCTCAAAACATTGAATTATCAGGGAATACCCCTGCTATAAAAAAATCGATCGAATGATGTCATGTTTGTGTTACATGAAATAGCTGTCTCCGTACCTAGCAATGAGTGCGAAGTCGGATGAGAATTCATTGCATTGAATTCAGAAAATATGGCCTCAGCTTTCATTTGTATGCGGATGATATTCAATTATATATTTCATTTACACCTATTGTCCATCTTCTTTCAATTTATCAAAATTGCAACTTTAGAACTGTATTAGTGAAATTAGAAAATGGATGTCAAAGAACTTTCTAAAATTGAATGATGTTAAAACCGAATATTTGTTATTAGGTTCAAGGCATCAATTAAGTAAATTTGCACATGATAACCCCCTGTTGTAATTGGTAATTGTGATATATTTTCATCTTATTCTGCTGGTAATATTGGCAAAATTTTAATCTTTGATAGTTTTATGCTTATTTGTAAATAGTATTTGTAAATTGTGCTATTTTAATATCAGAAATATAGGTAAAAAGTCGAAGACTTTGGATGATATTGAGTTAGAGACTTAGCTACTTTAAAGTATGGCACTTTTTCTGGCAGTCACCGCTAAGCTATAAATAGCCTTACAATGGCACTGTGTCAATCAGCATTTGTGGTAGTAGTTATTTTTGCATTTTTAATGCAAATTAAATAATGTCTGTTCATTTTTAGGACAAAGTTAAACTATTTTAAGTGCTCAGTAGCATTACCCTTCGACCAGACATCGTGAAAGGACAAAAAAAATATTGATTTTAACAAAAGGATGGCAAATAACGATAACTGATATCGAATTACTCTTTGCCATTCGAATGGCAAATATCCTCTGCCATATCCACCATCTGGCTGACAAATAACCACTTCCTTTGTCTGGTTAATTTTGTGGACTTTATAACCACCTAACATATTGTATGTTAATGCAAACAAGCAGTGTAAATATTTTCATCATACAATTTAATTACAGATACAGATATTTAAGGTACCGATACTTTAGAAAAATGGAATCAGAAACTGTCTGCTAATGTTACGTACCCGACTAACAACAAAACCTAACCTTTGTTCGCAGCACATAATTGATGTTGTCTGATTCTTGTATCTATCAAGCCCCAAACAAAGCTTTCTGTACAGTGATATCTTTATAATTATTGTTTTTTTTAAACAGGGTGTTGTTGTAATAGAAGACATAGAAAGATTGAAAAATAAATTAAAACTAAAGAATCAGTCTAAAGAGATTATGATTGAGAGTATACAAGAACTTGGTAGAAAACAACCACCAAAACATGTTTTATTATCAACCAAAATAGGTAGGTCAATCATTGGTACTAGACATGCTTACAGAATGGACTGGAATGCTGTTAAGAACATGTCCACAAGAAGACCATACAAGAAGTGATAAGGCTCAAGTTTGGGATTTTGCCCATTATTTGTTTATGGGGTTACTTAGTGCCCAAACATACGTATATAAAATATTTGACTGATTGATTGATCCACCCAGAGTCAAAGAAATGCCGAGATGGGTTTTTGGACTTGAAAATAGTACCCACTATTGATTTAAGAAATAAAATCCACTAGTGTTCAGTTGGATTAGCCATGGTACGGGCAGCAAAAGGTTTAATGTGGTATTTCCTGAATGAAATTCATTTAAAATGTCCTGTCCGTCCACAATTTGTTTGTGGACACTCTACAGGTCACAATTTTTATCGGATTTTGACGAAACTTAAAATATGGGTCTATCTTCCAAAGATCTTGGTTCCTTTCGATATTCGCATGTATTGGACCATAACTTCATGGATTATGGTCCCTGATTGTACGAAAAATCAAGTTTTTAGCTTGTGGGCACTCTAGAGGTCACAATTTTGATTTGATTTTGATGAAACTTGAAATGTATATTTATAACTCAAAGATCTTGGTTCCTTTCGATATTCGCGCATATCGGATCGTAACTTTCTGAATTATGGCCCTTAATTGTACAAAAAATTTGCATTTTGAGCTTGTGGTCCCGATTAAAAAAAACGTGTGAATATATCACAGTTATACACTAATGATGGTTGAGTTCAAATTTTGTGAAAATCGGACAAAAATTGTACGCAAATAGTGTAAAAAATATGGTATATCAAGGTTGTGGACACTCTAGAGGCCACAGTTTTTATCCGATTTGGATGAAACTTTAAAGATATGTTTTTATCATAAAGATCTTGGTTCCTGTTGATAATCACACATATTGGAACATAACTTCCTGGATTATGGCCCCTGATTTGTCGAAAAATCGCATTTTTAGCTTGTGGATTCTCTAGAGGTCACAATTTTTTTTTCGATTTTAAAAACCGTTTAGATATGTCACCATTCTACCATAATGAAGGTTGAATTGGAATTTCGGGAAAATCAAAATGAAACTGCCCGCTCTTTGTACACAAATTGTATGTAATACAAAGGTTATGGACCCTCAGAAGGTCACAATTTTTATGATCCTTAAAACATATCTTTATATTCCAAAAATCTCAGTCCCTTTTGATATTTGCGCATTTAAGACCATAACTTTGTGGATTATGGCCCCTGATTGTACAAAAAATCTTGTTTGTTTTTAGCTTGTTCTCTATCCATCTCTTGCAAAATGTAGGTGTATCCTGTCTGGCAGCTGCTGGGTTTTTTTTAAGCCTGTTCTATGTCCATCTCTTGCAAAATGTGAGCGTATCTTCCTTGGCAACCACCTGTTCTAATTTTTTTATGAAATCATTTAAATTTTGAATGTGATGTATAGAATATGTATATCTATAACATATCCTTGGCGGTCAATTTTTGCAATACTATGGATGCTACTGTAGTCTGGTAAATATAATAAATGACCAAGAACAAATTGCAACAGAATTTTTCTTGATGGAATCTGGTAGGTCTCCCAAACAAAAATCGCCCAAAATAAAAAGATATGTTTTCGAGTAATTAGCATAAATCCAATATGGCCGCCATTGGCACCATAAAACTCCAATTTCTCGGGAATGGTTGAGTTTGGAGGGTGCAAATGTATTATAGGTAGATAGGAAAGTGGTACAGATGACTCAGAAAAACATAGCTAAATGACGTCCCAGTGATGCCATACTATCATACGGCTAACAATTAGCATAAATCCAATATGGGCCATTGAAACTTAAAACTCTGATATATCGGGAATGGTTGAGTTTGGAGGATGTAAATGTATTACGAGTAGATAGGAAAGTGCTACCAAAGAACTAGAAAAATAATGCCAGGTGATGTCCTTGTGACGTCGTAAGTCATACGGCCAACAATTAGCATAAATCCATAATAAAATGATAGGTTTTTGAGTAATTAGCATTATGATGGAAAGCTAGAACTTTCATTGTGATGCGTTCTTTATGTTGTCAAAAGGCCTGCAACTTGCTGATCTTCCCATTCTTTACTTTGTAAATTGGTAAAACTCTTTAGCATTGTATTTTTCCAAGAAATACAGGAATCTGAGTTCAACACGCCTAAAACTCAGACCTAACTTCTGAAATGCTACACATGGTCTTTCTATGGACTTTGAAGCATGTCTTTCCACAAATGACCAACACTGCCTAGCCCCAGCCTCTAATCCCAATGTGGCTAGTGAGAACACCCACTCCAAGATCTCCATTTGGTGACGAAACAGTGTCTGAATAAATTGGAAGCAGGAGTCTTATAGAATGGCTCCCGGATATTAAGAGGTACCAACGACCATCTACTAATATAGATCTCCATGCATAGTTTCCTAAAGGAGTCAAAGGACTATTTCGTGACTATTGGTTAAACATACATTATGCAAGAGCAAAATCTGCTTATTACAAGTCTTTCTTTAGGCCTGAAATGTTATCTAAATTATCAATTAGACATTAATTAACTTATCCAGACCATAATAAACTCTCGATGTCAAGGCTAGCCTTCGATGTTGGCTGGATTAGATTCCTATATGCCGCTAATGGCCGTTGATAATTAAATCAATAAAAGCGGATAATCGAGACTAAGCTGTTTATATTAATGATTTTAGTAATGATGACCGAGACTATGCCAAAATTTCACCCGCTTCTTTCTCGGCTCATAGTGGATCAATTTGACTGAAATTTTCAGCAAATTACCTTTACACTATGTAGTTTTTAACTATTATAGCGAGAACTATTACATTATGAATAATGAGTTATCCGACTTTAAGCCGAAACGTATAGTGTTCTTATTTGGGAAGTTTCCATACCGTTATGAGTTTTCTAGGTTTATTTGCTGACCTTATGGACAGTTCTGGGATGAGGCAAATTTTAAAGAAAATCTACCAAGAAAACACAGTTGGACACATTTTGAGCGGGAAGGCATATGCCAAGGCAACGTGTGGATATTTTGTCATGGACTATGGGTTAATGCACTGGTACAATTTGCCATTATCACCAAGAGGAAATCTATATAGATAATGATATTCAAGAAATACATGTCGAATTGTTTGACAAGATCAATCAATCAATCAATCAATCAACACAGAATTTGTATAGCGCAAACAATACTTTGATAAAGTTCTTAATGTGCTTAAAAGTTTTTTTTTTAATTCTTTTAGTGTTTATTTTCGTCAAATAGATGTGTTTTCAAACGTGACTTGAAGATGTCTAGAGTTTTTGATTCTTTGATGTCGAAGGGTAGAGAATTCCAGAGAAAAGGTGCTGCAAAGTGAAAAGATCGTTTCGTCCGTTGAAGTTTGACAGCAGGAGTAACTAATAATGACTTGTTCTGAGATCTTAAGGTTCTACTGGATTCATATGGAGTAAGTAGATCTTGAATGTATTGTGGCGCTTGATTGTATTTTGAATTTGATTCGCTGATTTATGGGTAACCAATGGAGGGTTCTTAATGATGGTTTAATGTGATCCCTTTTCCTGGTTCATTCTGAACATATTGAAGCTTCTGCAGCTGCCACTGTGGTAGACCATACAATAAAGCATTATGGTAGTCCAGCCTTGAAGAGATCAAAGCATGAAGGAAGATTTTTAGATTTTCACATGTTAGAACTTAGATACAATAATACATTTTCACCCTCTAAACGCAACCATCCTCAAGAAATTGGATGTTTATGGTTAGAATGGCGGCCATATTGGATTTATACTAATTATTGGATGTATGACGTTACGACGTCACGGGGACGTAATTTGGCAATGTTTTTCAGATTCTTTGGTAGCACTTTCCTACCCGTATATAGATTTACACCCTCCAAACTCATCCATTCCCGAGATATTGGAGGTTTAAAGTTTCAATGGATTTATGACGTTATGACGTTACAATGACATCACCTGGCATTGTTTTTCTAGTTCTTTGGTAGCACTTTCCTATCTACTCGTAATACATTTGCATTCGAGATATTGGAGTTTTAAAGTTTCAATGGTAGCCATATTGAATTTATGCTAATTGTTCTAGGTATCTACTCCATATGGCTTATCTTTACCCGACTATTGACAAACAAACGCTTTTAGTGATTAATATGATTTGAAAATAATGCATTTTCACCAATTTTAACAACCTATTATTACGGTAATGTAGAGCTTGCCAGAAATTTTACACACCCACAAAAGGTGAGTTATTGAGCCTTAAGATGCCCCCAGTTTGAAAAAATGTAGAAACATTCTTTGCAAAAACAGGGGGTGGGACGATTTACCCAATATTACCCAATACTATCCCAATATCACCACATACTACAACATGATGATGCAAAATAGACATATCATTTGATTTTTTTCAAAAATAGAGAGTTATATCGGGGGAAATGTACTTCAAATGTGATACTGATGTCTGGCTGTTCTATTTGCCTCCCCATACCACCACAAACAAGCCTATAATAACCCAATACTACCAAATACTCATCAAATACTACCCAATATGATCAAATAACAACCTAATATTGTCAAATAACAGCACATAGTATAATTACTGCAACGAATATTCAATATTTTGCAGAAAATTGAAATGTTTACCCAGTTAGATTGCTACTCGGTTTAATCATCTTCTTTGGCTTTGCAGTTGGTTTCCAAGATGACAAACTTAAAATAAGAAAAACAAGTATGACGATATACCATATTTTATTCCCAAAATGACCCATCTGTCTCTTACCACTTGATAAGGTCGTCTGTCAAACAAGGTGGGTTTTCTCGGGTCCCCCGGTTTCATCTCACTGTTAAACACACCTTCGCGCAAGTGAGTTAATGAAATAATATTGAACTATATGTTTGTCCCGAAATTACCTAGTTAGTGTCGATTGTATTTATTTTTAAATTAATGCTTTAACAAAACAATTGCATAATGTTCATATTCATTTTTTCATGTCATATTTCATATTAACTTACTGCATGATGTTTTATTTTAAAATTAACGAAATTGCACTTGTTTCTTTCCAGTGTGTAATTCTCGACGCGACACTTCTCAGTTCATCAAAACTATAATTTGCGGCCTCTTACAGCTCTGTCGGTTTCTTTGATAATATAAATAAACCAGAACTTGATTACCCAATCAACAATCTTAACCCCATTGATTAATTGTTAAGACAGATGGAATGTATATATACGAGTAGAGCATTACACATTTGTAGTAAACATCTGCATTGTAATAAACATGTACAATTTCGTTAATTTTAAACTAAAACATCGTCCATTAAGTATATATGATATGCAATAACTTATTCATTGACATGAAAAAATAAATATAAACATATGAATATGTGGGAGGAAACTGATGACTGTGTCTATTCATTTAAGTGGTAATGACATCGCCGTGACATCGTCACCTGTGGGTATATACCGTAGAATACTTAAGAATTTGTTCAATAGTGTCTATATTCGAAGAATCGGTGAAATTTTGACGAGGTTTTTTTTTTTTTCAAAGGCGACTGGTTTGGAACCGGAATCATGTAAAAGACAAAGAAGATGCGTTAATAAGTCATTAAAAGACAGATATAAAGATAAATTTGTGTGCTTTCCTGACATATTTTACCCAAATGACTTTTACAGGACCGCGTGCACTTGTAGACAGCGTGTTATCATACTAAAATCACCAGGATGAAGAAATAATTATAGTATAAGAAGACTTGTGAGTAGGCCACGAGACCGTTAAATGAACATTTTTAAATCTAAAATACTCTTTTATTTGGATGCTTGACTGTTTATTTTATAAACTGATTTTATTTTAATGCATGTTTAAATCTTTGTTAACTTCTTTTCAAACTCTTTCTTATCTTGGAAACAAACTGCAAAGCCCAACAAGATGATTAATCTGAGTAGCAATCTAAATTCTATTTGTCGGTTGTAAAGGGAGATAACTGCGTAAATATTTTAATTTTCTGTAAATTATCGAATATTCGTTGCAATTATTATACTGATGTGTTGCTAATTGACGATATTAGGTTTGTATTTTATAATATTGGGTAGTATTAAGTAGTATTTTATAAGTATTTGGTGGTATTGGGTTATTATTTGCTTGATTTGGGTGATATAGGGAGGCAAATGGAACAGCCAGACATCGGTAATCACATTTGAAGTACATTTCCCACGATATATCTCAATATTTTTGAAAAAAATCAAGTAATATGCTCATTTGGCACCATTATGTTGTAGTATTGGGTAGTATGTGGTGATATTGGAGTGGTATTGGGTAAATCGTCCCACCGAAAACAGGTGTGAAAGGGAAAGAAAATGGAGAGATTTATTTACAGAGAAAAAGAAAATCGATTTATAAGTTTGTGTACATAGGGTTTAATATTTATTATTTTTAGGTAAAGTAATTAACAAATTGAGAAAGAATGAAGATTTAGATATTGCTGAAGCTGCAACTATTGTTTATAAAGAGTGGAGAAGTCATTTAGAAAATAATTTATCAAAACCATTAATAGAGGTAAAATGTGATCCAAAGTCTGAAAAAATGAGAAACTCTGGAAGAAAATTTTTAACTGATGCTCTAAAAACTGAGGTACTGGTAATAATAGTTAATTTCAAAATTGGTTTGTTCTGCACCTTCTTATGAAAGGTTGTAGATGGTATTAATAGTCATGTATCTAATAGTCTACTTAAGTGAGAATATTTATTTAGACGTTATATTTAGTGGTGCCTTGGTGTTGAACTTTTATTGTACAGAACTGAATCACAAGCCTTTTAAACATACTGTCTGTGTGGAATAGCCCTCTAGAAATGACATTTTTATTATTATAAGTTTTCTTCAGTCTTCAGCCACTGCATAGGAGTACTGTGCACAATCAAAATAATTAAAAAAATTTTTGCATTTCGTTGAGATAATATCACAAGGCTGTTAAATGTTAAGGAGAGAACTAGTTTGTTACGAAAATATTTTAACAAACCGTATTTAAATCTTTACTCAGCAAAACATTTTTATACGTCCACATTGAAATATGGTTATATATTGCCGTGGCCCACCGTCCGTCGGTCTAGCATCCACAATTGCTTTTGGCACCAAAATGATATATTTAAAGCCTATCTCAAGTCATTATTTACTCCTAATGATTAATCTAAGCGGTGATTATTTGATGTTTCGTTTCGTCTTTAACAAAAATGATCGTGTGGGGACAATGTTTTAGCGTCAATTTTTATTCTGATCAAAAACTTATGAGATGAAAACATCTCTGGCACTAGCAATAGTTCTTGCACACCGTCAATTTAATAAATTGATACTCAATAAATATCAAAGGAACTTTGATCCGTCAATTAATTGATTCGCCGCCAATTTCCTCCATATGTGTTCAATTTCTTCGTCAATTAACTGATGTCAATTAATTGATGAAAAAATTGAACATGTAACGGCCGCTTTAGTGTATAAGGAATAAGTGTGCAAAGTTTCAAGATGATATGTTAAGAAATACGATCTGTAGACAAATAAATACAAGAAATGGGCGGGGGTCGGGCATGCACCAAAAACAATAGGGGTCATCCTTAGGGTATAAGGAATAAGTATGTTAAGTTTCAAGATGATCAATTAAGAATTGCAGCCTGTAGGACACACACACACACACTGCAAATACATACAGACACATTCATAAAAATATGCGACAACCCTTGTTGACTGCTTAGACGATTTAGCTACTGTTTCATTGTCTGGCAACCCATCTTTGAAGCCTATAGTCGACTGCAGGGTGGAGGCTTTATTTAGGTAATTCCATTCTCAGTGGAACATAGAATGGTCAGAAGGCAATCTGTGAGTAATAGTAGATTTCCATTGACTGCAGTCCAAAGTTATATTCCTTGCTTCTCCCCATGAGATACTAATGTTCATTTATTTTCACTGGGCATTCTCACTTTTGCTTGCCTTGTGGGTTCCACCCTGACATGTAAATTTTGGTTGCAGGCTGTGCAAGATATGCCAAATCCATAGCCACTTTAATTTTTTTGATGTATTTAACTATAGTGTTATGGTTTGCTCTTGCCCACAGTTCCTGGTTTGAGATGTGGTCTGGTCATCTTATATGCAAGATCCCTGAGGGCCAAGTCTTGATGAATACATGTAGTTTACCTCCATGTCTATGACACTGAAATATAGTAACTCGCGATATTAATTTTGTTTCAATGCTAATATATTGTGAGTGTGCCATTAGTAGAATTTGTATATTTGTTACAGTACGTTGCATGCCACTAAATAAATGCTTTTATTATTGATTTAAGGTAACAGACAGACTACCAGAAGCTATTGAAAGAGAATGTTTTCATCAGAGTAACAGACTGTTAAATGTTCATTATAAAAGAACCATGCGAGCTATTGTTTTTAAATTAAAACATCAAGAAAGTGTTAGGAACAGTGTTTTAAAGGGAGATATAAGGGTAGAGGAACTAGTTAGAACTAATAAGAAATAATATATACTGCTACCAAAAAGATCTTATATAGGTGTAAATGGAAATTAGACTTTGGATAGAATTTTATACTGATGTGTGTGTGTGTGTTTTTGTGACGTCCCATTCCTGTTGCGATGTATGCTTCACTTAAAATGATAAGCAAGGGAGGTAACCCTTTCCATCCCTCAAATCAAATTGCTCATCTCTCCTTCGCCTAAGCAGAAAATTTTAATTATTGAGACACTCACCTAATGAACATCTGCTCCAAGTTTCAACATTATATCAGAGTTATTGTGTACCATAATGTGTTACAGACAGACGATCCTGTTGCTATAAAAAGTGATGGACAATACAACTAAAAAAACATTTCAATGCACATGTAATTAAATGAATAACAATCAGATTATAAAATATTTGATTAAAAATGTTGTAAACAGGGCTTGCCACGAGACGCGAGTAATTACTTGCGCGCACGCTACGCTCGCGTAAAACCAAATTTACGTGAGTGATTAAGTACTCGCGCAAATATAAAAAATAATTTAATCAGAAATAATTGAATATCGTAATATAAAAAGCCGTAAACAATTTGTATGCCTTCATATCGATGCACTATTGCGCACGCGGCGTGTCTTTCCAGTGCCAACTGTTGTTACTAAAAATACTTTGAGACGCGTACTGCCAGGCGGTTTTTAAGCGGATGTCCTTTGCCGTGTCTGGATAATCAAACATTGAGCGGATGTTGTCGTTTCTATTAATAGCAATTCTTTCGATCCCGCATCTTTTCTGCAAATTGATGGGATTGAAATTGTTTTGCCTGTTCTTTTACCTTTCTAAGCTTTACCCGAATCCCCTCAGCACGCCAACAATGGCAAAGGGAAGCCCAGTTTCTCTTGCAACGTTCTTGTCATGGGAAGACGATTTACAGATAATATTACTGCCAAGGAAATAAAAGAGTATGCATTGTCATTGTGTGTGAAATAGCTTTATTCAACGTCTGCTTCCACCGAAGTGACAATAGCATTGCCATTAGGCACATGAAATTTAAATGGCTACTCACGCACATCATTCTGCGTGAGTAAATACATGTACTCGCCTCACTCGCGCAAGTCTATATTTGCGTGAGTAGTCATCTACTCGCCTCCAATTTGCTCGTGACAAGCCCTGGTAAACAAGCCAACAGTGAGGCTTGACAATGCCTCCCACCTTAATCCCAAAATAAGTAGTTGACATTCATTAATTACTTGCAAATTTAGAATTTTACTGAAGAAAATAATGCTCATTATCAAACTTATTAATGAAGCTATCATTAGAATCAAGGCATGTTTCAAAGCAGGGCTCACACCGGCTTTAATTTTTTTCCCGCCAAAATGGATGATAATTTTTATATAAAAAAAGTTTCATAGTTTTTTTCTGTCAACTGGAATATTTTATCTGCCAAAAATGTGTGATAAAAAAGACAACATGTAACAGTTTTATGTCTTAGGTAGGCCTATTATAAAACAATTACCTATATATACTATATATACAACTTTAAAAATCTGTCTTTACATAATACATCATTAACACAGTTTTGATTTACGAAGATAAGATGTTATTTTTGGTGACTTTAGTCTATTTGCACACCGAGCAGCACAATATATTTTCAGTAGGCCTATTTACATGTCAGATCTCATTCAAGGATTGCAAATTTTCTATAAATTTATGTTTTGCATGTACAATAGGCCTATTGTTATTTTCAGGTACCGTAAAGGTATCAAAATCTGAATCCTTGATAGAATGATATCAGTTTCAGTTATATATGTATATGCTTAGAATTATACTCGTCAGTCACTTTTAGAGTATTTTGGCAACGGTAATATGATACAAATGGCGAACTATTTTCTCACTCAAGAATCGTCGCTATTCAACCCGTTCTTACGTTTACGACCAGTGATGATAATATAATTTAATATAATAATATCCGATAGACATGCTTGTATATTTTACATGCCGTATGAAGCCACAGTAAACGGAATTCAACTATCAAAATATTTCATTCTCTGCGAAAATAACTGTCGGCCATTTTTGTTAAAGACGAAACGAAAAATCAAATAATCCCCGCTTAGATTAATCATTAGGAGTAAATAATGACTTGAGATAGGCTTTATATATATCATTTGCAATTATCAATCAACTAATCATTTATCTAAGACAATTGATTATATTTACTCATTGACGCGATTCGGATTATCAGCCAGTTGATTAATTGATTAATTTATAGAATGTGCCGCCACGTGATTGGCACTCAATGTAATTGTAATGGTTAATTCAGGATAAATACGATTAGAATTTTAAGATTTTTTTCCGCCAGTTCTCAAAAAGAATCGCAAAACATTATCGCAATTAATCAAATTTTAATCGCCACTTTCATATTTTTATCGCAAATTGCGACTTTGGCAATCGACAGCGTGGGCCCTGTTTCAAAGCATTGACAACTCAAATTGCTTACATCTGCAACGAATGCTCATCATTGAACTCGGTCAATATATTCACTTAGTGAACATCTACACAAAGTTTGAGCATTCTACTTTAATTAGAAGCAGAATTATTGTGTTCTATCTAGAGTCTTGACCAATGAAATTTCTTATCTAAATGTGTGACGGACGGACAGCTGCTTAGAGTTAGCATAAATTGCTATCATCAGCAAAGATATTCACCTAATAAACATTTACACCAATTAGAGTTATTGTGTCCCAAAGACTTGACCAATGAAAATGTCTTATCTTTGCTGAGCCTAAGCAGAAAATGCTCATTGTCAAACTCAGTCAAGACAACTAGTTTAAACATTCTACCTCAATCAGAGGCAGATTTATTGTGCCCTAAAAAGTGTGACAGAAGAACTAATTTTAATAGTGTTCTGCTTTCTTTGAAAGTTGGGGGACATCAGATTGAAAATGTTATAAAATATCAGATTGAAAATGTTATAAAATATCAGACTGAAAATGTTATAAAATATCACAATATATATTGTTTTGAATTAATAAAATTTAGATAAATGTCAATCAAATACTTGAATGGATCTATCATATAAACTTGAATAACATATAAAATAATGGGATAGAAAATAGACATGTTTATGATAATAATGAAGTCATTTGGGGGATTACTGGAAGACAAAGAACTGAAATTTGTACCATCAAAAGAGATCAAACATTTTCACGCCTAGTTTTAAACTTCTGATTAGATATGGGATGAAAACAGTAAGTGAGCCCTAGTTGTTTGTATTAATCGACAAATTTGAGTTCCCTTCCAACAATCCTGGTACCGGTATTTTTCAAAGAGAAATCTCTGAAACTAATATAAAAATGGGTAGAAATACTGCAAATAATTGGCTGTACGCTTGATTACAAATCGCAGTTGGTTCAAACTTAATGACTAAACAATCCCATCTGAATTTATTTTGACTTGATTACATGGATTTGAAGACAAGTGATAGCTTGTTAGAGATAGTAATGCTCAAATGGAAAATACCAGAAATTTCACAAGGAAGCAAGCAGATAACTTCTGGATGTTACGTTTGGGCAGCTATCTAATTTTTAAGTCAGTTTGAAACAAAGTTAAATAGGAATGAAATGAAATGGAGTTTTAACGTCCTACTGTTCTACTCTGAGGGAAAGTTTATATCGAATTACAACTGTCAAGGGATCTTTTACGTGCACATCAATGTGTACACAGGACCTCAGTTTTTCGTCCCATCCACTTGACTAGACAGCAGCCCTTGTCAGGCCCTCCGTCCTGCATCACTGACAAGAGGGAACCACACCAGAAAATCTGGATGAAAATGTTGAATAGGGTAAGAATTATGGTGATATAAGCCTAAATGAGCTAAAATATTCTTTACACAAAGGCTATAATATTATAATCAGTCTATATCTAATTTACAATTATACACACAAAGTCAAAGCCATTAAGAACGCAATGCCAAATTCAAAGTTTATTTACTGCAACAACTTTAACAAATGTACATAACAATTGACAAAATCAAGATAACAAACATCTGTGGATAATTTTATGAAAGAATTCACTACAAGTTCATCCCAAAGGTGTTCGATCGGGTTGGTAAGGTCGACGGCAGCGTAACCCAAGAGCAGCCAGGTGCCTTCGGACTGTTTGAGGGCTGATCTGACGTTGCCATGTTCAAACAGTTCCCCTGGCAGTAGCAGTAGCTGAATGGAACCTGTTGCGCAGATGCTGTAGTCGGATGTGGCGATCTTGAGCTGTGGTTGTTACAGGTGGCGCTCCGATCAGGTTTGATTGGCAACTCTTCCAGTGGCGCGGAAGCGTTGTCTGAGGCGAGCAATGGTCAATGGGTGGACATTAAAGTGTCTGGCTACCTGTGAAGCCCCCTAATCCAGCATGCCAATGATGAATGTTGTAATTTTGATCTGTATTTAAAGGGCCAGAGTGCAGGAAATGCACGTGCAAAACGTGTGACATGGGACTGCTTAAAATCGTGAAAAAAGACAAGTGCTCAGTTTGCACGAACAATGTTCATTACCGAGAACTGATATTGGGTTCAAACCCAGAACTCCACAAAAAGAGACCCATCACAAGTTTCACCTATGTGTCATAAGATAAGAAAGCCCAAGAAAATGTTTACCAGAAATATTTCATGAATTAGGCATTGCATTTTTAACGACTTTGAGTATATTATGAAATATATAAAAAGCTTAACAATGAATACAAAAGTAACTAAATTAAATGCACTTATTGTTATATTAATAAAAGGCTATCTATAATATACAAAAATAACAAATCAATGTAATAAAATAACTAATTGTGCTAATAAACATGTTATACATTAAAAGAGAAATCCCAGATATAATTAAGTGAATAAAATTCTTGTCCCCCGGAGTTAGAAATGAGCTTCTTGATATCTTCACTAAGTTCATTTTTATAAGTCCACGCAAATTTTGATCCGATTTTGATGGAACTTTGAATTTATGTTTATATCACAAAGATCTCAGTTCATTTCAATAATCGCACTTATCGGAATGTAACTTCCTGGATTATGGCCCCTGAATCTTGTTCAACCAGCGGCTGCCAGGCAGGATACGCCCACATTTTCGAGAGATGGATAGAGAACAAGCTAAAAAGAAAGTGATTTTTCCTACAATCAAGGGCCATAATTCAGGAAATTACAATTCAATATGCGCAAATATCGAAAGGAACCAAGATCTTTGGGTTATAAACTTACATTTCAAGTTTCAACAAAATCGGATAAAAATTGTGACCTCTATAGGGTCCACAACCTTGATATACCATATTTTTACGCTATTTGAGAACAAGGGCGGCCACTTTGTCTGTCAGTTTTTGGCCGATTTTCACGAAATTCAATCACAGCCGTCCTTAGGGTGTAACGGTGATATAATAATATGATTTTTTAAATCGGATAAACATTATGACCTCTATAGGGTCCACAAGCTAAAAACACACTTTTTCGTACAATCATGAAGTTACGTGAATATGCGCGAATATCGAAAGGACCAAAGATCTTTGGGTTATAAACTTACATTTCAAGTTTCATCAAAATAGGATTAAAATTGTGACCTCTATAGGGTCCACAACCTTGATATACCATATTTTTACGCTATTTGAGAACGAACGGCGGCCATTTTATCTGTCAGTTTTGGGTCAATTTTGACGAAATTCGAACTCAGCTGTCCTTAGGGTGTAACGGTGATATAACAATACAGTTTTTTAAATCGGATAAAAATTATGACCTCCATAGGGTCCACAAGCTAAAAACACGATTTTTCGTACAATTAGGGGCCATAATTCAGGAAGTTACGATCCGATAAGCGCGAATATCAAAAGGAACCAAGATCTTTGGTTTATACACATGCATTTCAAGTTTCATCAAAATAGGATCAAAATTATGACCTCTAGAGTGTCCACAAGCTAACAACATGATTTTTCATACAATCAGGGGCCATAATCCATGAAGTTATGGTCTGATACATGCCAATATCGAAAGGATCCGAGATCTTAGGGAGATAAAGCTATATTTCAAGTTTCGTTGAAATCGGATAAAAATTGTGACCTGTAGAGGCGACGACAATATACGTCCACATGAAAATGTGGGCGTATAAAAAAACACGTATTTAGTTTGTGGATTCAATTTTAAAAACTGTTTAAACAATTCACCGGTGCACCCTAATGATGGTTGAGTTCGAATTTTATGAAAATCCGACCCAAAACTGCCGGACTAAATGACCGCTCCCTGCCTGTTTGTGCGAAAAATCTTTTTTTTTTATTTTTAGCTCGTTCTCTGTCGATCTCTAGCAAAATGTGGGTGTATCTGGAATGGCAACCACTTGTTAGACACAGTTATAAGCTACTTCTCGCAATTTTGTTCTTCGAGTTACATACTCTAATTTCTTCACATGAATTATCTTATAAATTGTAAAGACAACAAATGTATAATCAACAGGTAAAAAAAGACACTTAAAAAATTAAGAATTGACCTTTGTTTCCTTTTGATCAGGTTTGGACGGTGTCAGAATTTATCCATGCATGAAGACCTCAAAATACCTCTGACATAACAAAGTTGATCATGTGGGCAACTCTAATTTATATTGTTATTCAGAGAAAATTATTTTATATTTTTATACTATTAGTAGGAGAGAATTAATAACATAAAATTTGGATTGGATTGAACAAATGCACCAAATGTTTCATTATTTTAATCTATGTTTACTTTTCTATTATCTGATTGCCAGTGCACAGCACAAATGCAGAAAAATAAATATCTGAAAAACAAATTATTACTATTTGTTTTTCAGACAATGGTATAATTATGTACTTAAATTACTTAATTATCATGCTATATCAGGCTTCTAGTTGTCTTGGTCATTACATTAGATTTTGTTTTACTTTAATATTTATGTACACATCTACATATGTATTTTAATTGCTGAAATTCCATGTTAAAATCAAGTAGTAATTATCATTTAATAAGGTGCATCTTTTAGTAATCAATAGTATAATTTGATTAGATTATGTCTGAACAGTATATATATATACATGCTTTTCATTTGTTATTTAATTTAATAAACTATCTTTTTAGTTATTTTTGTTTTCCTATTTGTTCCATTTGTCCTTTTTATCTGTGCCATTATAAACTAACTTCTTGATTGCCAGTAGCAGAGTTTTTTCTTGGTACTGTTTTTATATCTTTCATGTTCCTCTAGTCACTATTAAAACTTGGAACTATAGATTGGAACTAACTGACTACAAAATCTGTAATAAAATAAAACCCATGCTATGTACTGTACAATATTACTCTTCAACCGACATTATAATATTTTAAACAAGTCAACAGTGATGCAGATGTTCCCCGTCGAAATCTCGAAATAAATAGATGTCACATATTAATTAATAGCACATTTATCTTTTTCAAAAGTATCAAGCAATCAAACTGACTATTAACTATACACCAAGTTTCATCACTCTCTATCAGATAGAATCAAAGTCAAAGAAATTGCTTAGCCCTGCTTAGCTTTAGTGGGACATGTTAATCATTGAACTCAGTCAAGACATTCACCTGGCCAAGTCAAGTAAGAGTTGCACCCCTTCCCACAATAAATCCAATAATTCTTGCATTAATATAAACAAACATGAATCGTTATGATTAATTAAAAAAACATAGATATGGCCCATGAAGAGAGAAATTTAACAATAAAAAAAATTAAGAGTGTTGGATATGCAATCAAATGGATTTTCTGAAAAGGCATTCTTAAATTAATTTCATGGGCGTCAACATCTTGTTTTAGGACTAGTTTCCTCCTTTAGACTTTGTTTATGACAATGTAAAAGACCGGATAATCTAGCTAATGACCTAATATTCTCAAATGTTGACAACTCATCCAGACTAATATTGGTAAAATATTTTTCTGAATGATAAGAGACTAGTCCATAGTACACTCGTATTTCCAAGATCACACAAACATGAACTACACATACATTGTATTATCCAAGTGTACCATTTTATCAAGCGCCTCACACACACTACCATTAACAGACTAAAATGGTCTTAAAGAAAGAGATACATAAATTATAATCAGAACCTCTGTATCATAAGGCATATCATTGAGTCAACTGGCGTAGTTTCAATTTTCCGGTTGTACGTGGCAAGGAGTAGGGTTGCCTTTCCAACCTAATGGTTTTTCTCCGGGTCCTCCGGTTTCCTTCCACTGCTAAAGACCCCTACGCGCAAGCGAATTATTGAAATAAACTTGAACTATATGTTAGTCCCGAAATGACCTAGTTTGTGTCCAGTGGATGTTAAACTCTCTCTCTCTCTCTCTCTCTCTCTCTCTCATGTTTCTGTTAATCACTTACCTAACATCTATATCAGGTTCACTTATAGGAATAGATTCACCATCAATATTAACATATAATTCTAATGCCCGATCTCTTTCATTAGAACTTCCACAATCCACCGATTCATTAACTTTTATATGAAATCTAGTAACATTGCTGTTCTTTATTAACCAATCAAAATCCATCTAAAATTTAATACAAAACTATTTTCTAACAATCTTATACACAAATTTTCATTTATAATGACCCCACTACTTCCATTTATAATGGCCCCACTTTCTATACATCCACATTTTCATGAGGGTGTATATTGTCGTTGCCCTTGTCCATCTGGACGCCCACAATTTGTTTGTGGACACTCTACAGGTCACAATTTGTATCTGATTTTGACGAAACTTTAAATATAAGTTTATCTTATCTCCCCAAGAATTCGGTTCCTTTCGCAATTAGCATGTATTGGACCATAACTTCATGGATTACATCTCCTGAATGTACGAAAGATCATGTTTTTAGCTTGTGGACCTTCTACATGTTATATTTAAATATATCACCGTTTCATTCTAATTAAATGACCACTCCCTGTACACAAATAGTGTAAAAGTATGTAATACCAAGGTTATGGACCCTCTAGAAATCACAATTTTTATCAGATTTTGATGAAACTTGAAATATATGTTTATATCCCAAAGATCTCAGTTCTTTTCGAACTTCGCGCATTTCAGACAATAAAAACAAATACTTCAATTTAAATCAACTTACTAAATTTGGACTCTGAGTTGCAAATCTTCCCAAAAATTTAATTTGCTCCATTTTTTTAATTCGACCATAGGACATAAGTAAAAAAGAATCACTCTGACGGTCGAATTTAACAACACCATTGTCAACCCTTATATCACAACAAAACACGTGCACTGACAAAAACTCTTTCAAATCAATTGTCTTCCAATCTAGAAAATAAAGATAGGTTGCAATACAATGAAACATGTGTCATCTACGAAGGTTGTCACATATTTATTCTGTTATAGGTAATGGGAGCATTTACAAGACTCTAAAGACTGATCAAGAGTAATCAGAAATAATTCAAATTTCACTGACTTCTAGCTTTTGCATAACTCAATTGATAACTTCAGCTGTTCAAGTGAACAGAAACCATTGCCTGATTTAAAATTACAATGCCAAAATTATATTTTTATTGCAATTAGCAGGAAGAATGGTGAATGACAGCATGAGCTCTGCAATTGAATGTGGGCGAGGTGATGGCAATAAAAACATAAATAACAGGCCTAGAAGTTTTATCTATACTATACGTATGGAGAACTATGATATAAAGTATATTAGAGGGTCAATGTGTATTAGATGTTTAAAGTATATTGTGTATTATAGTACAGAGTGGGGTGATATATAATATATTAGAGGGTCTATGGATATTAGATCATTAAAGTATACTGTGTATTATCAAAGAGAGGACTTAGATGTTTAAAGTATATTGCGTATTATGGTATAGAGAGGGGTGTGATATAAAGTATATTAGAGGGTCTATGGATATTAGATGATTAAAGTATATTGTATATTATAGTAAAGAGGACTGTGATATTATGTATATAAAGTGGTGGACACATTAGGCCGAATCAATCAGCGCCGAATATTATTCAGCCGAATGGGTGGACACACTAGGCGAATGCTTTGACCGATTTATCAGTCAATTGTATCACCTTTTACGTCACATGATTAATCATTCATGGCGCCGACCATTTCTTCAAACAATCACATGACTTCTCAATATGAGTGGTGATTGGCTAATGAATTCTACATTCGACCGAATGCTTCGGCGAAGCGGACACACTGGGCGAATATAATTCTGCCAATTATATCAAATATGTTTGATTCGGGCAAATCATTCGGCCGAATGACAGTGGACACACAAGACGAATTTCAACGCCGTTTGATTCAGCTTTAGAAACTTTATGTATATTAGATGTGTAAAGTATATGGTGTATTATAGTATAGAGGATTATAGCATAGATGAGTTCAATATCAATAATGTCCTACCATTTTCACAGTTATCTTCCTTCTTTTCTCCGTCCACATTAGTATTTAATGTTTTGTAACTCACATCTGCATTAAAAGTACGCTGTCTACCCAAGAACCCACCAAGTATAGACACTTAAACATAAAAAAAAAAACATGACATTGTTTTAACAATTGTGTTTAACAGAAATCCGGACTACCCTTGGCTTGGTTGCCAGATACTTCTGTATGCACAAGCAGGTTAAAGATAAAATATTAACTTATTCTTCTTTGCTTACTACAAACTTTAAATATTGAAAAAGTAGAATTATCCTTTTAACCTTAATATGTACTAAAAAGACTCAGTCAACAAGACCCTGCAGTCTTTGATATATTACAGAAGGTACAGTTATAGACTATCTCTGCATCACTGGTGATTAACAACCAAATATTAGTTATAAGATGCATAGGAAATAGTATCAGGGATCTGAATTAGTGGCCATCAATTACAAACTACCACCACTGTTAGTACACAATCAAAGTATCAGAAGATTGAAAAGTTACATGTTCAGTTCGAGATTTATAAATGAAATTTCATAACGTTTAATAAAGATATCTTGAAGTGTTTATCCTCCTGAATTCTATTCCAAAAACTAAGTAAATTTGTTTCCATGAAACACAAAAAATTATTAAATCCAAGAAATGTCTAATTAGCAAATTGCGCAACGACTATAATAGGTGCATACAAAATTCTATAAAGATATTTTTAATGTTTTAAGATATATGCTCTGGAAACAAAATCTTGGCGGAAGGACAGACAGAGCCCATTTCAATATCCCTCCTCAACTTTGTTCCGAACAGGATAATAAAAGTTATGTAGGTAAGAAGCCCTACATTTTAAAGAATGATTTATAGTGGGCAGATCTGGGCACACAGATAGAGGTGCAAAACCTTATGTTGTGAGCCAAGCGAATACGCAGCAAGAGTTCTAATGACTGCTCCATTCATATTGCAATGCAAAATGATGCAATCTCAGACGTTTTCAGTATTTGAGTTGAACATATAACATATTACTTAGAGACTCAATTACCGGAGAGCATTACATGCAATTTATCACGTAGAGTCATTGTATATAGTTTTTATGTTCAGATATACATGTACAGTAAATTGTTTATTTCATACAATTGATCAGTAGCATATATGGAAGGGATATGGTCCCACTAGGTCTTCCCCATCCCCATCCCGAAACACCCAATCATAGATCATACCTGGGTATCTCATCACTTTCATCCATCTTCTTTCTTCAGATTTTTTAATCAAATCAGACATTACTCCATAGGAAAATAATAAACCAGCAAATGCCAAATGTTTTCCTCCAACCTTTATTGATAATGCACAAGACTTATGGTGCTCACCTTTAAAAAAAATGTACCAAGACTATACTTAATATATCATACTTGATTTAGTTAAAATATAAACACTATATCTGTAAAGATGCATATATTAGTATAATAGTTCAAAAGTCTTGATTATCTATTTTATTGTTAAACTGTTAAATGGCTTTGATGTTCTAATCTACTTAAAATCGGAGCTATCCGACAGCTTAGAGAGATGAGTATTGGTTTAAATCATTAAATAATAATTTATATAACATTTGAAGCCAAACAAAAGACCTGCAATAGGCAGATTTAGCTCTTACATCTCTTACATAATACATCTTAAAAGTGAAGTTATCATGCCTCTAGAATGTTTAATTTTGTGTCAAAACTGGTATATATATATACTGATATATATATAATTTTTTTAAAAGTTACGACATTTTGAATATTCTTTGAATGGCATTTATAACGACTTGTGAAACCTTGTTGAAACGTTGCAGTGAAATAAACCATAGTAATTGTTATCCATAAAAGTGTGTTTATGACATTTTGAATATTTGGCCTTATTGCATTATTGGTTGACAGTCACTCAAAGCTATAAAATTCAAAATAAGTAATAGAAATAAATATGTAAAGATAGGTTGCCTGCCTAAAAAATAGAAGCACACAGCAACTAAAGCATCCAAGCAACCCACATCAGTTGTCAGATATATATTTTTTTGTAGGTAATGGGTGCATTTACAAGGCACCAAAAACTGATGAGGGGTAATAATTATCAGAAATGATTAAAATGTAGGCATATAAAAAAAACTATGGTATTACTCTAGATAATTAAATATATTTTTTATTGTATTGTTATTGTGCTAACTCAGCAAACTGTGCTATGAAAATATGGCATGCTTATTCTAACTACACCTCATATCACATCTCATTTGAGGAACAATCTTTTCTTAAACTTTTTATCTTATGCATACAATAATTGATAGACTTTTGATATGTAATCCTACCTAGTTAAATCAATGACGATCCTTGTAGTAAATTTTCATAATATATGAAGAAAGTTGAATGTAATATCATATTACCTCTTATAACGTGTAAAGCTGATGTTTCTATATCTATACAACCACATGACCACCCTGCTATACCATTACCTGTTCCTTTTAACATTAACAAAATATATGAATCAAAATTTTGTTTTTTATAACACTATAAATTCACTACAAGGTTACCATATCAGTATATATTACAGCCAACTAAAGAAATATCAGAGCACCCAGAGAAAACCCACAAGGTAAAGCATGTGACAATACTCCTTATCACATACAAATCTGAGATTGACCCATTCACAATTGTATACATGTAGTTTACATGCCTAATGATTTACAGCGCATAATTTAGAAAACTTGACCACCCAACCACCTACCAAGTCAACTCAATAGGGTGATATCGGAAGTAAGAATTTATAATTACTTCCATAAACCATAAGATTAAAGTCGCATACAGTTTGGGTATTCTCCGATCCTGTCCAAATTGGCACCTGAGCACGGCCTCAATACTTATGGTAGTGTAAATATAGCTGACTCTAACCTGTAGGTATAATACCAATAGGAACTGGTGGTGATTTAAGTGTAATTTCTGTATCATTATAATCTATATTATCATCTTGTATCATGGGTAAAATGCCATTTAATACTTCATGATATAAACCATCACCACCAACAGAAACTATACTAAAACAACAAAATACATGTATATTGGATGAGATTAATCTATATTAAAACAACAAACTACATGTTTATTGGAAGTGATTAAATATAAAACTATACTAAAACAACACCAGTGGATGCCGGGCAAGATATCCCCACATTTTGCAAGAGATAGATAGATTACATAGATAGATTTTTAGCTTGTGGACCCGCTAGAAACCACAATTTGTATTCAATTTTAAACCAGTGGTTGCCAGGCAAGATACGCCCACATTTTGCAAGAGATGGATAGAGAACAAGCTAAAACCAGCGGCTGCCAGGCAGGATACGCTCACATTTTGCAAGAGATGGATAGAGAACAAGCTAAAAACAATCATGATTTTTTTGTACAATCAGGGGCAATAATCCAGAAAGTTATGGTCTGAAATGTGCAAATATCAAAAGGGACTGAGATCTTTGGGATATAAAGATATGTTTTAATTTTTATCAAAATCGGGTAAAAATTGTGACCTCTAGAGGGTCCACAACCTTTGTATTACATACTTTTACACAATTTGAGTACAAAGAGCGGCCATTTTGTTGGGCAGTTTCATTTCAATTCGAATACAACCTTTATTATGGTGGAATGGTGATAATTATTGTGACCTCTATAGAGGGACCACAAGCTAAAAACGCGATTTTTCGTACAGTCAAGGGCCATAATTCAGGAAGTTACGAACCGATATGCGCAAATATCGAAAGGAACCAAGATCTTTGGGTTATAAACATGTATTTCAAGTTTCATCAAAATCGGATCAAAATTGTGAGTTTTAAAAGGGTCCATAACCTTGATATACTATTTTTTGACACTGTTTGCATATGAGGGGCGGCCATTCTGTCCTGCAGTTTTGGTCCGATTTTCACGAAATTCGAACTCAACCATCATTAGGGTGTAACGGTGATATATTTACACGTTTTTTTAAATCAGATGGACCACAGTGAGGTTTCATTTCCACAGAAAGACCAACAGAATCAGTCATCCTGTTATAAAACTCATTATCTGAGTGTAATGTATGCCACACCCTCAAACGACTAAAACTTATATGATTTCTAGTTCTCGAGATACATCATTATCTAACCTAGCTGCAAATAAAACAAGTTAGTTGCTGGGTGTAAAATTAAGCGGGAAGGCTATTCGAAAAATTTTGTTCTGAAATGTTAAAGCTATTGAATTGAAAATGGTACAAGTAGTTAGGAAATGCAATAAACAAGGGAAAACTAGCATTTAAAAAAAGTTGTTGACAGGGTAACACATTTTTTGGGAAAAAATTATGAAAAACATAGGTACACTATATCTCTGTAACTAATTAAGATATCTTCGCCAATTTTGCAGTATATATAAACTAATATCTACCTCAGAATCAGACAGAAAGCAATTTGAATTATCATTAATATTTCATAAGTTATCAAAATATTTCTCCAAAGACAAAATATTGTGGTGAGGCAAATGTTTTAAACACCAATTTCCAAGGAACTATAAAAATTACAGAGAAAAACTCTCTGTCTGGTTTTAGGGTTATCATTAAAGAACAAGCAGTCCGAAAATGTGACATTTATCTTTATTAGTGCCAGAGATATGGTGTACCTACATTTTTCATACTTTTTCCAAAAAAATGTGTTACCCTGGCAACTACTTTTTTTTCTTTATTTTTAATGTTAGTTTTCCCCTGTTTATTACATTTCCTAACTGCTTGTGCCATCTTCAATTCAATAGCTTTAGAATTTCAGAAAGCATTTTTTGGGTAGCCTCACTCCTTAAATGATCAGAAGGAGCTTTAAAGTTGTGAAACTTACCCATCAATAGTAGAAAAGTCATAGGTCTTTAATATATCAATCGTATGACCAGCCCTTTCTGTAACTAAAACCACAAGAAAATTTACACACTTGTTTTTAATTATTAAAAGAAAGAACACAAAGACTTAAACTAGATAATGATTTCCAGTGTTAAAGCATTCACAAATTTTCACAAAGTAAGAGCCATAACTTATATTCACAAGATACTACAACGACCATAACTTTAATGGAAATTGTTGAAATTCAAAATGATTCTTTGTTTTAACAATACGAATAACGCATATAAATATCACATAGCTTTGATAATAACTTTAGAGTGTTCACAACATTATACAAAGTAAACAATGAGTCTGGAAGTAATTACAATTCAATAGGATTCTTCATCTCACTAATGTAAACGGCATATATAAATCTTAAAAATATTAGATGATAAATGTAGTCAGTAGAGTGTTCACAAAACATTGTGAACAATGGACTGACAGATGAACTGACAGATAGACAGGCATATGGAGGTGACGCAATATTTCCATATGGGTGTCTACATAGGTATACGGGCCCGTTGGATGTTGGGGGGGGGCAGACCTCCTCAGGAAAGTTTGGAAAACTTGACGGTCGCAAAAGCATTTTTCTCTAATTCCAGCTCGTGAATACAGCATCTTCAATGTGGTCCAATATAGTTAAACTTACGTGGCTGACCTGAATTCCAATCAACCAGTAAATCGTTTAGTCCACGGAGCCGCCCACCCTCGTTCGAGAAAATTTTGAAAATTTAACTGCTGCAGATGCGTTTTTTGGCTATTCTAGTCCATGAGTCACGCAACTTACATGTTGTCCAATGGTTTTGCAACCAAAATCCCACTCAATGCCAATCGGAATTCCAGTCATCCAATCAGACTGTCAGAGCTGCATTCACAAATAATAATCAATGCCCGAAAAAAGTCGCACAAAAGAGTGTGGTCCCAGACAAAATGTTTTAATCCATAGTCAATTCAGTACAAATGTGCCTTTATCAATTAAAAGAATAGTAAAATTAAAGCTTATTAGATTTCGTGCACTTTATTTTGCCAACTAGATGATATTTTGCCAGACAGAGTGGCTCCAGATAAAATGTTTTAGTCCATAGTCAATTCAGTACAAGTTCACGGTATTCAATAAACAGAAAAGTAAAATTAGTGTTTTATTAGACTTTATTTTGTCAACTAAATTATATCATAATTTTTTTCTCCATTTTACCCATCTGCTCGAAAAGTCAGATTGCCCAAAAGTTAGGGGGTCAATTTCATATAGGCAACCTACAAGCAAAACCCCGACTGAGTATTACAGCCAGGCAAGAATGTGTGCAAATACAAATCCTTTCCACCAATAAAATTAAAGTTAAATTGCCATTAAGTGAAACAGCTCTAGTCGTAATAAACGGAAATTGCTGAAATTCAATAGGATTCTTCTTTTTACTAATTTAAATTTCATACAGATCGGCAGATAACTTTTGATGTTAGAGTGTCCACAAGGTGCAACAAATTGAAGCAAGGGACATAACTCCAGAAGTAATTAATGGAAATTATTGAAATTAAATAGGCTTCTTCATTTCACTAATTTAAACAACATATATCAATTTAAAAAGATAGGTTGCCAGGCAATGAAACATATGCCCATAGCAGCTAAATCGTCCGGGTAGTCAATAAGAGTTGTCGCAAATTTTTACTTTTGTTGGTAATGAAACATTTATAATACACTGAAATCTGATTAAGAGTAACAACTCAATAAGTAATTATCAGAAAATTATTTGAATTTGTTTGGCCCATGCTAACGTTTAGTATATAGAACACTTAATATCATGGATTTAGCAGTTCAAGTTATCAAAAATCATTGAAAATCAATATACTTATTCGTCTCAAGACCTTAAACTCTGTGTATCAATCTAAAGTCAATCGAAACGATTATATATATGATTATATATAGGCGTAAACACAGTGTATAAATATAAAATCAATCAGATGATAACTATGGTCTCTAAAGCATCCACAAGATTTTCAAAGTGATCAATGGCCATGACTCTGGCAGTAATTATCAGAAATCTTCGCCTAATGACCTTAAACACTGTGTATAAATTTAAAGTCAATTGGATATTAACTTTAGCCTCTAGAGCGTCCAAAAGATATTTCAAAGTCATCAAAAGCCATAACTCTGGCAGTAATTATCAATAGGCTTCTTCATCTCTTGACCTTAAACACTGTGTATAAATTTAAAGTCAATCGGATATTAACTTTAGCCTCTAGAGCGTCAACAAGATTTTTCAAAGTGATCAAGGGCCATAACTCAGGCACTAATTATCGGAAATCAGTGAAAATCAATAGGCTTCTTTTTCTCATGACCTTAAACACTGTGTATAAATTTAAAGTCAACCGGATATTAACTTTAGCCCCTAGAGCATTCACAAGATTTTTCAAAGTGGTCAAGGGCCATAACTCTGGCAGTAATTATCAGAAATTGTTGAAAATCAATAGGCTTCTTCGTCTGATGACCGTAAACACTGTGTATAAATTTAGAGTCAATCGGATATTAATTTTAGCCTCTAGAGCGTCCACAAGCAATTGTGGACGCCAGACGGACGGGCAGGGGCGACGACAATATACAACCACATTTCGATGTGGGCGTATAAAAACAATCAGATGATAACTTTTGACGTTAGAGCATTCACAAGAAATTGTGGACGACGGACGGAGTGACGACAATATACGACCACATTTCGATGTGGGCGTATAAAAACAATCAGATGATAACAAGAAATTGTGGACAATGGACGGACGGACCGACAGATGGATGGGAGCGACGGCAATATACATCCACATTTGTATGTCGTTGTATAGAAAATTAATATCGATAGCAAATTAACTTGCCCTGATGTCATCCCTTTCAGTAACAGTAGCAGCTAAATGAATAAATATTTACTGTTTATCAGTTTGGCCATTTTGTTTGGGCTGGAACTGGGTTGCAGTTATTTATTATTTCTCTTTTTCTGCATAATTGGCACAATGTTGAAATTCATTTTTTCAGTTATTTGCAAATCTTTATCCTTACCTTTAACATCTGTAGTAATGTCTGCCAACTCAAACAATGGTGCTACTTTTTTCTCATAATTTTGTCTTCCTTTACCAAATCCACCAATAGGGTTTATAATTACTAATAACTTTCTAGGCTTGCCTTAATAACACAAAAAAAAAATATCAATAAACACCTAGCTTCCAGAATAAAAAAAATCCCTGCATGTCAATTCTCTCAAACACAGATAAACATTCAGTTAATCATCAAATGGATTTCTTCAAACTGAAATCAAACTGGAAACCAAATTACATAAAGCTGGTTACGGTACTTTGTTCAAATTGAGAATGTATGGTTAACCAAACCTTTTTAATATCTAACTGAATTTGACCACTTAAAGCCCCTGAAAATCCCTTGTGAACCACAATATTGTGATCAAAATTTATCAAGATATGTATCACTGGATTTCTATTGAATAACTGAAATTTAGTCAATGTTCTCACTAAATGATAAGTCTATTTTTACCAAATTTTTCAGACGCTATCTTTAAGTTTTGTTGAACTTTCTGTTTACCTGGTCAAAATTTATCTAAATATATACTCTTCAAAAGAAGTAGGGGATATTGAAATGTAAATACCTATGCAGGTTGTGATATGATAAATAGTCATGGACACTTGACATGCTTTGAGAGTATGCTAACAGATGAAGGGTTGATGAAAACTGACGCTTGCTGGTTTATCCATTCATGTTTGCTTTCCTATCGGTTCTTGCATAAGATTTACTGTTTAGCGTATCTTTGCTTTAGTGTGTTACGTTTAATTTGATCAGGAGACGTGTTCGTCGACGTCAACAGACAACACTGCAAGAATTGGCCGTGGCACTGCAAGAGGAGTGGGTCAGATTGCCCCAAATCGTGATTGGACGGTTGATTAGGAGCATGCCACGACAAATTGCTGAATGTCTGAGGATTGGTGGAGCAATAACTCATTATTAAGACAAAAATCAAAAACATCCATTTTCACTTTTGACAGTGTATCTCTTTGCGAGTTAAATGGGGCCGTCAGATAAGCCGCCCTGCCCGCCCATATGAACTGTTTATGTTCATGTGTAGGCAATTGACCTGTTATTAACATACACTGGTTACCTCTAATAAAAACAGCAGTGCATTTCCACAGTTTTGTATTGTTTCTGAATATCCCCTACTTTTTTTGAAGAGTATATATCATTGGATTCCTATTATATAACTTATATTTGATTATGCCTTTTTTTTACCAAATTTTGGGTCCGTTTTCGTTTAAGAAACATGCCATCACCTTTTTTAAAACTTTTCCTTTACCCAGTCATTTGTATCTCAAATAAATGACTTTATTATAGTCAGATATACGACCTTATTATACTCTAAGGAACATATTTTTAAAAATCAATATTTAAGTAGATCAGTTGTTATTGTTGTTTTATATAAACCAATTTTATTCTTTTAAAATATATAACCATACAGACGGCAATTCTTAGTTAAAAGGTAAATTGGACGATATAATACCTTGTCTAATTCTTTCTCTTAATCTACTAATCCAGCTGCTAAAATCTCCTTCAAATATTATATGATCACATCTCCATTTATGATCTTCTTTCTTAACAATGTAGGACAATTTGATTTGCGTGAAATCAGTGTCTGTTTTTTGTTGAGATTCAGTCAGGTTTTTGGTGTTTTTTGCGAGTGACTGCACACCAACAACATCTTTCCATTCTAAACACTTATCTGTACAGAAAAATACAACCAAAATTATATATAACAAATAAATACACAATCTGATTAAAATACAGATCTATAATTCGTTTCGTTTTTTATACTTTCGATGGCCTCCACTACATGAAAATCTGACCAGTTTTACTGGGAGGTCGCGTCAGTGGTCATACAAGCGGCTTTTGACCTTATGACGTCAGACATTGATTTATCAATCAGCGTTGACGTTTCAAGGGGTTTACCCACAGTTCTGTGCAGAGCACTGGATAATTCCTCACATCAACTTGAATGCCTGTTATATAACAACTTTTCCATATCCTAGTGTTCTGAATACAAGTAAAACGAAATTGTGAACTATAAAAAACGAAATATGATCTGTGCTTTATTCAGATTGATAAATACACATCTGGACTGTTCTTTTATAATTTCTTGCTCCATATATTACAAATACATGCCTTTCTAATTTCCATGGCACTGAAACTGATGCAGCACCATTAGGCTGAGTTTATAGATATTAGTTCATGTTAGACTACCTTTATTAATAATATTTCTTATGTTCCAAATTTTCAGTCATCCTAATTCTTTTGAAAACTGAACTAGTGATATTCCGGGAATGGGAGTGTGGTGCATATCCATAAGTGAGAATTCGGTGATTCGATGACAATATGATTACAGGTGACACCGATCACTTTCTCTCAGCTGTAAGCACTCAATACATCTAGCTTACGTCAACTTAGGTCCACACATAGAAAGCACATGATGTTTGCAAAGTGATTGCTGTTGAAAACATCAGAATTTTTAAGTCATTATTCATGAATATTTATCAATATTTAGACTTTACAAGTAAATTTTAAAATTTTCTAGGGCAATATGTCTATTTGGATTTCAAGTTTTCAATTTGAACAATAAAAAATATGAATGCATTTAAGTTATTAATATTTGCATGGTTTCATAAATTCATCCTACTCATAACCAGGGGAGGTAACTCGTTCCGAAGGACCCCAGTGACGAAGTGTTTGGGGGCCCACCACCCACAGAAAAGTTTAAAGTGTATTTTGGGCACATTCCTGTCGGTTTACAAACTATAACCAATGATTTTGTTGCCCAAAGCTGTCAAAAAACAAACGAAATTGGGTTTAACGCCCTGTTTTCCCCAAATGGATAATGGAGATAAACAGTGTGCTACAAGGGAAATCTTGCCTGATGCTAATGGAGGGTTCTAATTGGAAAGTGGTTAATCTGCAATTGTTAATACCCTAAACATTTTCAGTGATTTTTCAGTACACATGGAAATACAAAAATTGCACAGGAGCCCTTACACTGAAGTCAAAGGGGCCATTCTCTCCGATTAAGGGGCCCTTAATCTTTTTGCACTTAAGTCAAAGGTACTCTTTTTTCCGATTCAGGAATCCTTTTCTTGGACTGGGGGCCTCTCCACAGGAATCAGATAGGGGTGGGGGGTTGAGCGGGGGGCCTGTCATAGGGAGTCCATAACAAGTTTTTTCCCCCTGGGTTCTGCGTTTTCTATAATCCGCTTCTGCCCATGATGTGAGCAAATACTTTCCTTTTCCAAATTTAGTGTATAGCCTAGTCTGAAATATTGATTCATTTACTAGCCTCCCCCAATTTATATTTTATTTTGCTGTTTCAAAATAGCCATAACAAAATATATAACATTAAAATGGCATGTACATGACTCAAATACACATAAGTAGCCTACTTTCTGACCTAAAAAAAAACTGCGTTGTTATCTCACCAAAATAAGAAGTAACTTACTTTTAGCTTTTAATTTGGCTTCGGTTTCAGAGGAATTACTAAATGACCACTGAATACATTCATGATTAATGGCTATTTCTACACTTATGCCACCACTAGTAAAATTTCCTATTTCACTGTCAAGTGGCACATTTTGTAGGGAATCCATCCGGAGGCTGTCTTAAGTTGCTGCTTTTAGTTTCCACGCATTTGACCTATATTGACCAACACAATGTCATGAGGATTCAGATGGCCATATTCCCCTTTCTGGTGCTTACTTCAATAGACGAAATGTACGGCGCTAAATTTGGAAATCAGTGAATATAAACAAGCCTAACACAAGTTGTCTCTGATGCACACACCATTATCAAAATGACATATTTCTGTAATAGCCCCGATGCCTATGTATTACGAAAGATTAGTAACACGTGACATTTAACGCGGGAAATATGAAGACGTGGTCCTTAAAACCGTCTGTAGTCGATGCTGACAGGGGAAGAGGACGCTCTAGAGGTCAAAGTTAATATCCAATTGACTTCAAATTTATACACAGTGTTCAAGGTCATAAGACGAAGAAACCTATTGATTTTCAGCGATTTCCGATAATTACTGCCAGAGTTATGGCCTTTGATCACTTCAAAAAATCTTGTGGACGCTCTAGAGGTCAAAGTTAATACCCGATTGACTTTAACATTATACAGAGTGTTTAAGGTCATGAGACGAAGAAGCCTATTGATTTTCAGCGATTTCCGATAATTACTGCCAGAGTTATGGCCCTTGATCACTTTGAAAAATCGTGTGGACGCTCTAGAGGTCAAAGTTAATATCGGATTGACTTTTAGTGTTTAAGGTCATGAGACGAAGAAGCCTATTGATTTTCAGCGATTTCCGATTACTGCCAGAGTTATGGCCCTTGATCACATCAAAAAATCTTTTGGATGCTCTAGAGGTTAAAGCTAATATCCGATTGACTTGAAATTTATACACAGTGTTTAAGGTCATGAGACGAAGAAGCCTATTGATTTTCAGCAATTTCCGATAAATACTGCCAGAGCTATGACCCTTGATCACTTTGAAAAATCTTGTGGATGCTCTACAGGCTCAAGTTAATATCCGATTGACTTTAAATTTATACACAGTGTTTAAAGTCATGAGACGTAGAAGTCTATTTATTTTCAGCGGTTTTCGATAATTACTGCCAGAGTTATGGCCCTTGATCACTTCAAAAAAGCTTGTGGATGCTCTAGAGGTCAAAGTTAATATCCAATTGACTTTAAATTTATACACAGTGTTTAAGGTCATGAGACGAAGAAGCCAGAGCTATGACCCTTGATCACTTTGAAAAATCTTGTTGACGCACTAGACTACAGGCTAAAGTTAATATCCGATTGACGAAGAAACCTATTCATTTTCAGCGATTTCCGATAATTACTGCCAGAGTTATGGCCCTTGATCACTTCAAAAAATCTTGTAAATGCTCGAGAGGCTAAACTTAATATCCGATTGACTTTAAATGTATACACAGTGTTTGAGTTCAGGAGACGAAGAACCATATTGATTTTCAATGGAATCCCCGGTTGTACGTGACAAGGAGTAGAGTCTCCTGTCCAACCTCGTGGGTTTTCTCCGGGTCCTCCGGTTTCCTCCCATTGCTAAAGACCCCTTCGCGCAAGGGAATTATTGAAATAAAATTAAACCATATGTTAGTCCCGAAATGACCTAGTTTGTGTCGAGTGGATGTTAAACCCCATGTCTCTCTCTTGATTTTCAACGATTTCCGATTATTACTGCCAACTGCCAAAGTTATGGCCCTTGATCACTTTGAAAAATCTTGTGACGCTCTAGAGGCTAAAGTTATCATCCGATTGACTTCAGATTGATACACAGAGTATCTTGAGACGAACAAGTATATTGATTTTCAATGAATTTTGATAACTTGAACAGCTAAATCCATGATATTAAATGTTTCGTATACTAAACGTTAGCTTTGGGCAGAACTTTATAAAAACCAAACAAATTCTAATGGTTTTCTGATAATTACTTAATGAGTTGTTACTCTTAATCAGATTTTAGTGTATTATAAATATTTCATTACCGAAAAAAAGTAAAAATATGCAACAACTCTTGTTGACTGCCCGGACGATTTAGCTACTGCGGGCGTGTGTTTCGTTGCCTGGCCACCTATCTTTAGTATCGGTAAAGATGGCTGGACAAAGACAGGAACAGTAAGTACTTTTTCTCACTTTTTAGTAAACAAGCACCTGTATCCATCAAAACATGAAGCATTTGTAACTAGGTCAATCTAGCCAATCCTTAAATTAATGGTCTATTTTGTCCCACCTTTGTGTTTAATAAAGGAAAGAAATTCCAACTAAACCAATTCATGGGAAAATATTTACATATATAATCATAACCAATAACAGGAACAATCTTTACTCCCTTTAGGCTATATGTTGTCTGTGATATCATTAAGTTGGGGATGCAGATGTTGAACTTAAACACCAACCAGCAAACAAGCAGCACGCAAGAAAGGTGCTGTAGGGCCTAGTCTGCTTGGTGAAGTTTTGGTTTCCTGGTCGATGAGAAACACTCCAAACTCAAAACTGATCATAGGATCTTTAAAAATGTTTACGATAATACGTCCTTCAATGCTGTGAAGATGATTATACATGTGTATTTGTAACTGGGGAAAAAACAATTCTGGGTCGAGGATCCAACAACGACAGAATCAAATGGCCCTCATTGAACATTTACTATAAAATTGTTCCCTGCACTAACATATCGTTAGTAGCCTAAATAGTAAAGAGAAATATTACATATTTTGAATGGTATCAACAATAAAGTACATTTACTCAAAATGTTTCTTCAAATGATTCATCATTTAACTTGAAAACAAGGCAAGCAGACGGTCAGAGATAGCTTATCACTGTAGATCGAGAAAGTTCATCAAGATTTTCCAGCATAGTTCACCCTTGTTTGTTTGGATAGGACAAAAAAAACCCCAAGGTTCCCTGTACACAATGGCATGCACATAAATGAACCCTTGACAGTTGGAATTCGTAATATGAGTAGGCCGCTGTCCGGGCAAAATTTCCCTCATAGCACTCTGCATGGCAGATGCCTGTCTTCATTAGCCCAGTTGGATCAGAACAGTCATTTCATTATTGTATTCCCAATAATCACAGTTTATTTACATCATTCATCAATCATTTTATCAAATCATAGTATTAACTGAGCATCCCAGATTACTTTCACTTTACCCCTTTTGAATATTTTGGTTATGTACCAAAAAAACACTTGGTCAGATTTTCCTAGTATAAAATATCAATGAATGCAACTTTCCCCCTCTTCTTTAAATGGTGGGCATTTGTTAACTTTTTAGATTTTCGACTACTTCTACTGAACTACTTCATACATTTCAACCCCAAATCACATTTCGTAAGTATGTTACTTTTGTGTTGCTTTGACTTCACGGGAGCACCATGGACAAATTTAGATATACTGCTGTATTTTCGACATCTCCTAAACCACTTGATAAATTAGAATTGAATTCAGTTGATATTGTTTAATTTAAGATATTTAGTTCCACAGGTGGACCAGGCGATCCTACAAGGACATTTTCATACTTTTTAGATTAATTATGAATTTCAACCAAATTGAATAAGTATGTCCCTTGCCAGTGGTGCAGGAGTGAGGGCTTGGCAAGGAACAGCATCTAGTCTTTCGGATGGGGTCAAAAATGGAGGTCTCGTGTACATGTTGAAATACACATAAAAGATCCAGGCAAAATTTTCCTCATAGCAGAATGTATGACAAGGATGAACACTGTGGTGTTAATTAAGCAGGGCTTTTGATCTCTGGAGAGATACTACACATCATTTCTCTCCAGTAGATCAATCTCTCACACCAAAATGCTGGAAGTACTGGTACTCATTTTCTACATACAAATGTCATGTTGGACAAATACAGGTTTATATACAATTCAAAATTACTTTATTATTTGAAGAAAAAACAATATACACAGCTATGATGTAAATATGTCAACAATTTAGATGAGATAGCACTTTTTGAAAAAGTAATGATAATGTTCATCTACACTATTTGTTTCTGATAGTCAATAAGTTGTCTTAGTTTCAAATAGTTGCTGGATGTGGCTTGATAACACCTAAATTCTGTATTCCATCTTTAGTCACCATTCGTACATTGAAAGATGACATATTTACAATAAATCGTTTTGAAAGCTGAAAGGAAAAAAAAAGGAATATTATTGTTAAAAGTTTTAATTTTGTTTATAGGGGTTAAAATAACCATAGGAGAGCATAAGGGATACATTTTTTTTTAAGGCAAAATGAACCAAAGATAAGTTCTTGACTTAATTATGGATATATTTAATTATAATAAAAAAGCCTTAACAATACAAAATGGTGCAGAAAGGTGGGATGTTAAATATATGATTTACTTGATTTTATTACATTTTATTCTTAGTTTATGTGCAAGTTTTTAAAATATTATATGGTTCGTGTCTCATTGACACCTGTTTGTACCTGTTAATCAACTTACATTCATGTTGATAAATATTTAAATTTCTTTATACTAGAAGCAAAATGGTTTTCACATTGAGCCCTGGTTGTATTGTTAGATGGGTGTTCTTGTCAGTCAACCTTCATTCAAGTTAAATACTGGTATTTAAAAAAAAATTTATAGAAGAAGCAAATAATTTTAAGATTGAGCTATGATTGTAATGTTGATGGGTGATACACTCAACAACTAACCTCATCTATACACTGCTGTAATAACTTCATTGCTTCTGGCTGTGTCAAATCTGAATAGATAACAAAGAAAAACATTTCATATCTTTTCAAAATGGAACTTAGGATTAACATACGTACACTTTACATAGTAATAATTTTAGCTCTGTGCAATAGGAGATAGGGCGAGAATTCTGCCCAGGCAGTGGCATTTCTGGCTACTTTTCTTTGAATTATATCTGGCATGGGATCTTTTCTGTGACAGCTGATATTCAAGAAGAATATGTAAATGAAATGAAATAGGGTTCTACTGTTCTGCTCCGAACTGGGCTAATGAAGACGGGCATATGCAATACAGTGTGCTAGGAGGGAAATTTTGCCTGGACAGTGGCACTACGGCCTACTCTTATATCGAATTCCAATTGTCAAGGCATCTTTCATGTGTACGCCAATGTAAGCATATATTATGGAGTAATAGAAATATAGATATATCTTATTTTCATCATGCATACTGTTTCGCAGTTCCAGTGAATTGACATATAAAGCATGGTGTAACTTCCTTTTCATTAATCTAATATCTATGGGTACTTGACTGTAACTCCAGAATGAGATAAATTGACAGATTTGTGAGAGAATTTTGACTGATTAACAAAAATTGAGTTCTGTGATAGTTTTACCAGTCCAGTCCACAGGGGGAACTTGTCTAATCGACACAGCCTTATGACCCGAAATTCTTGTGTCTACTTGACTGTCACCTTTCGTCGGATAAGATAGTCTCTTCCCCGAATGTTTGGGTATCCCCATATAGCTATATATGCATAAATTTTTTATGAAGAAGCATGTCTTACTTAAACCTATTTTATGAATGAAATTTGTGTGTTCTAGCATCGCATATTGAGGTGAACTACTTACCTTTTCTATAAAATCTGTCCATTACTGATAGAGAGAAAAAACCTCCATAACCATGTACACCAAATGGAACTTTATTTAAAGAAGCTAAATAATCCATATAGAATAAACCTGGTCCATCCTCTTTATCGTAACCTGCTAATAATAAGTTGACCTGATATGGTGTCTGAAATATAGAAATAAATCATACATGTTCTATTTGAATCACATCTGCATCAATTATATTAGATGATTTTGCTTGTGTGATAACCCAAATTTTGAAAACAAGATAATTAAATATAATTGTAATTATATCAATAACTCAATTTACACATACTAGGCAAATCAGGGTTGGGGAAAAAATCATAATTTGTTTTAAATCAGATTTTATACAAAATTCAAAACAGATTGCGCCTTGATCTTATTATTAGTTTTTATAAGCTTACTTAGTATAAAAACTATTGTTTTTGTAAAGATAATTATTATTCCTTTTTTTTTTTGCAAGCTTTTAAGGAAAAAGTACATACTCTATACAAATAGACTCTATAACATCTAAAAATTATTTATATCAAGAGCTCAATAAATAACTAAAATCTTTCAAAATGTTATCAGGAAGTGACATCATAGACGGAAACTTTTTTTTTGTTCAATCAATATGAATGTGGTTTTCACCAGTTTGTATTGTAATTCACAAGATTTAATTTCAGACATTGTGGCCTCTACAACACATCTGACCTAATTTTAAGCCTAAAATTGAAAACTGTGAAAATTCTGAGTGTAACTTTTTTATTTTTGAAGATTTCGACTTGAAACTTTCAGAATCAGTTACAAATGGGTACATTAAGCCAAAAACGTCAACAATTTTTTTTGATTATCTCCCTTTTGGAAATAAGGACAGATTTCCAACTTCTTTAATTTTGCCTTCTTTAAAAATATTTGTCAATAGGAGTCGTCTATCAACTTCTTGCCGCAAGTGCCACCATTTTGAAAACGTACTTCAATCTTTAAAATCTATCTCGTCTTACAATTCTTATCCGATCTTCAATATCTTTATATTATCTTTATAACTTTATGGTGGAATTAGAATTTTGACCTAGATTTTTTTTAAAGTTACCTCATAAAATATAATTTTTTTTAAAAAGTGTAAAACGTTGAAATCAGGTAAACTGGTATCTATCTATATATGCTAATCGATTAATGAAGTCCTTTGCTGCTTATTCTGAAAGTTTTGTCAAAATCAGTTTGTCAACACAGATTCTGTGCAACTTTAAAGGGACTATCCCGATTTGAACAGAGTCGCAAAAATTAAGGTCTGAGTACGTATGAAATTTAAGTGCCAAAATATAAAGGAATGGTGTTTTAACCTGTCTCAAAATTTCAGCGAAAAATATGGAGTCGTTTGGACGTCAACTTCAAAACTGCTTATCCGGACACGTAACCCCTTTAAAATTTCGGGTCAATTTTTTTCTTTGGATTACCTGATAATCAATTCCCGTCCCTTTAGAGGTTTATACAGTGAATGACCCATGTGCTGTACCTGATAACGAAAGGTAAATTTCACCTACACATTATTTTATAAAAAAAGGCACACCTTGGAACACATGAAAAAAATAGTGGCACACCTGGCTAAATATATACTATTCAAAAAAAGTAGGGGATATTTGATTTTGGGGGCATAATACTAAAATATGCAAATGACTACGAAAAACGTCACTATAGAAAGAAGAAACATTTCCAGTTACATGTGACGCCCAAACGCACCAATAGCTACCGCATGGAATGCAGGTGATGCTTGGGATCATCATGTGGGTCCACCCAAAGATTTGCACGACTCTGACTTTGAATGTTACAGTCATTGTGGCATTGAATTCCAGGGTGGAAACATCAGTTTAATTGTTTTAGTGACCAGAAAACAAATTTTGATATGCGTCGGCTTACCCAAAATGAAAGGTTACGTGCCCTTGGCATGCTACAGATCGGCACAACACAGGCGGTTGTGGCGCGGACGATGAATGTTTTTCAGTCTGTCATAAGCAGGCTATGGTCCAGATACCGTGATACACAATCTGTACAGGACAGACCACGCTCAGGTCGACCAAGGGCGACAACTCAAGCCCAGGATCGATTTATCCGTACCTTGGCCTTGAGAAATCGTGTCATCACAGCAAATCAGATCAGCGCTCGTCTTCAAACAGACACTGGTGTGAGAGTGAGTGGCCAGACGATTCGGAATCGACTGCATAGGGGCCACCTTCGCGCCCGACATCCTCGCGTGATCCCTTGTTTGAGAGATCATCACATTCAGGCAAGACGTCGTTGGTGTAGGGATCGTCAACACTGGGATAATCGACGCTGGAGCAATGTGATGTTTTCAGATGAGTCAAGGTTCACTGTTGATTTTTTGGACAGACGTAGGAGGGTGTGGCGTCGTCGAAACGAGCGCTTCCAAGACGTTAACGTCATCAGACATGATCGATTTGGGGGTGGTTCTGTTATGGTGTGGGGAGGCATCACTGTTGCTGGAAGAACGGCTTTACATGTTGTTGCAGGGCGTGTTACAGGCCAGTACTACCGGGACAACATCTTGGCAGTCCATGTTGTGCCGTTCGCACGACGTCATGGCCGCCGTTTCATCTTCCAGGATGACAACGCAAGATGTCACAGGGCCAGGGTCGTTACAGGTTACCTCCAACAACAGAACATCACCACATTACCTTGGCCAGCACTGAGTCCCGACCTCTCCCCCATCGAGCATGTCTGGGACATGCTTGGACAGAGGTTACGTCAACGTCAACAACGTCCTGCCAATGTCCAAGTACTTGCTGCTGCGTTGCAACAGGAATGGGACAATCTGGACCAAAATGACCTTAGACGTCTCATTAGGAGTATGCCACGTCGGATCAATGCTTGTTTGGCAAACAGAGGAGGATTTACCCGTTACTGACTTGGTTGTGATGCTGTGGTAACTTTGCTGTTTGACCCCGGGTATCATTTTGCCCTTATAATGGTCAGTCTGTGCCTTACTTAGTCTAACGATCATTTGGAATAAATCGATGAATGTGAACTTCATTTCATTTTGTCATTTGTTTCTTCGTCAGTTTCATTAGGTGACTTTAATAACACTTAAAAATCAAATATCCCCTACTTTTTTTGAATAGTATATATGAAAAATATTTGAATTTTGAAAAATAAAAACATGGTCAGTCAGACGGAATTCAACCGTAGACAGAGACTAGTCATAGACACATAAAATGACTCAAATTAAATAAAGAAAAACACAGCTATGAACTTAGTAGACACCAGTGAAATAGTTCTCCCTCAAATTAATATGACAGGTCAAACTTTCAACTTCTTTAATTTTGCCTACGAGTCTAAATATATTATTTTGAGCAATGACTGGTTATTTTTGAACTCAGATCATTTGCACCTGAACTCCCTCGTTGGATCAGTCCTTGTGATTTCAGACCTAGCACTACCCTCATATAAGTCCGTCCGATTAAAACTATAAACTAAGACCTTTTTGTGCACATTGACTGAATTTTTAAGATCCAAATGAAGATGGAATTTGATAAACGTAGGCAGAATCATCACAGCCCAATTAACCATAAAATAACATGTACATATGTTTGTTTTGATTTAACCACCATGGCAATGAGTGGACGATGGATCCCGTGGCATTTCATTTCAAAGTTCGGTCACAATATAAAGTATTACATAATACATTTAAATATTTTAATCCAATCACATCTTATAGCTGACAGAGGGCATGGCAAGGGACAAAGTATAGTCGTTTCGATGGGATGAAAAACAAATGTCCCCTGCACCCAGAGAAAACTACAGGGCATATGCTCGACTTCAATGGCCTAATCGGAGCAGATTAGTAGGACGTTATACCCCATTTTATTTCTTATAGGTGAGCTACCTCAAGATTTCAACTTTTACATTTTATAATTGAAACTTTATGTGGGGCTACATATTCGCCGTTTGGTGACAATAAATAATTTGTAATAAAAGTATTACGTAATAACATAAGGACTTTATGACCAGGTCAACAATCCACATTAAGTACTAGATATTGTTTGACATTGTGTGATTGTGTTGTATAAAAACTATCAAAGTTGTTTCAAGGGCAACTCTAGTTTATATTATTTTGGATAAAAATCAGACTATAAAGAAATCTGTAGCCTCTATTGTATTCTCAAAGTTTTCATTCAAAAGTGGGGGGGGGGGGGGGTAGATAACTCTGAATGATGGTTGCAGAATGCTGATTATCAATAGGGTTCATCCCTTCATGACCACCTGCTTCACCACATAAAATGGTTTTTACTTCACTACATGAGAGGCAAAGAAGTCATTTTCTTAACCCTTTCACTGCGTATACCCGGTAGTACCAGGTATTATAAAATGTCGGTAAAATGCGCGTACCCGGTATTACCATGTACTCAGTAAAGCCCTCGCTAAAATTAGTACCGTAACTGCAAGTGCCATCTATTGTATTTTCTACACACTAGTACATATTTCCACGTGTTTCAAAGCGGCAAACCGTAAAATGGCGGAGTGCATAGTGACAACGCAGACGACGCACTCTCGACGAAGTCGTGAATGACATCTTGCTGACCAACATGTGGACAATTTCGAGGCGGGTGATACACATAATTCGTTTCCAGTTACTTGATAATGATAGTAGTCAGGACAGTGATTGGTATTATGAAGTGTGTGATTTGTTGCGCGATGTTCCGCCCATGGCTAGCTATGTCTCCCGTGCATGATGAACAAGCCCAATGTGAACACGATAGCCCTGTGTCTGCAGTAGAATCTGACAATAATTCTGATGTTGATAATAATGCTGGCCTCATGGATCGTAAAAGACGTAGGCAATTCCTGAGTCCCGAACGTGTAGATCTATTGACTGACTATATTGATAATGATCTGGGACTTGGGGATGAAAGTGAAAGTGAAAACAAGGTATTGCAATCCGCACGTGGTCATGGCAGCGGGAGACATGATGCGCATTGCTCATGGCTGCTATTGATATTTTTGTTCATTTTATATATCTTTATCAAAATCCAGTGAAAAAAAATATCTTTTAAGTATTTCATGGAGAAAAATTTGTTTTCGTGTTAGCTTTAGTGAGAAATGAGAAATCCAAAATGGCCGCCATGACGTCACGTGACTACATTATCATGCAAATTTCAAAAATTCTATTTTTTCCTCTTAGCCCAACCTCATGCCCATCCCAACAGACAAAAAGAATTTTCATAAAAGCTTCCATAAGTACTGCTTGGCATTCAGTTCCAACCTCCCTTTTTTCCTTAAAAAAGGGTCTAGCACAGGCAGTGGATTTAAGTCTAGAATTGAAAGGGTTAATTTCATGTACAAGATTATACATATGACCCACAACCCTCTCTTTGATTTAATTAAATTTTCGTCCACTTCTTACAATCCAGGATATGGCATTAAAATAAACGAGTATTTGTCGCCCATCAACTTTTTCAAAATCCTATTTCCCCACAATAAAAGAATGTATTAAACTAGACTCTATCTTTATCAATATAAACTCAATTAGAGATTTGGAACTTTCAAACTTGGCATTTGAGTTACATATATCCCAATAGTATAAAACTTAAGTTACCCATTGAAATCTATGACAACCCCTTTATTAAACGTGTGTAATGTAATAAAACGATATTTATCTCATGTTTATGGTCTATATCAAATGATTTAAGAAAAATTTCTACTATGGCAAAGAATTTTTTATACAGCCACATTTTCATGTGGACAATTGTTTGTGGACACTCTACAGGTCACAATTTTTATCTGATTTCAACGAAACTTGAAATATAGGTTAATCTCCCTAAGATCTCGGTTCCTTTCGATATTGTACGAAAAATTTTGTTTTTAGCTTGTGGACCCTATAGAGGTCGCAATTTTTATCTGATTTTGTTGAAATTTGAAATGTAAGTTTATAACCCAAAGATCTTGGTTTCTGTTTCGATATTCGCGCATATCGGACAGTAACTTCCTGAATTATTACGGCCTCTGATTGTACTAAAAATCATGTTTTTTAGCTTGTGGACCCTATGGAGGTCACAATTTTATTCCGATTTAAAAAACCCTTTGAATATATCACTGTGACACCTTAATGACGGTTGAGTTCGAATTTCGTGAAAATCGAACCTATACTGCCGGACAAAATGGCCTCCCATCGATCGCAAACAGTGTAAAAATATGGTATATATATCAAGGTTGTGGACCCTCTAGAGCTCACAATTTTGATCCGATTTTGATGAAACTTGAAATACAAGTTTATAACCCAAAGAAATGAAATGAAATGAAATGGGGTTTAACGTCCTACTGTTTTGCTCTGAACTGGGCTAATGAAGACGAGCATACGTCATACAGTGTGCTATGAGAGAAATTTTGCTTGGACAGCGGCACTACGACCCACTCTTATAATATTTTTTATATCGAATTCCAACTGTCAAGGGATCTTTTACGTGCACGCCAATGTGTACACGGGACCTCGGTTTTTCGTCCCATTTAAACGACTAGACAGGTTTCCATGTCAGCCCCTCCGTCCTGCATCACTGATAAGGGAAAACCATGCCGGAAAATCTGGATGAACTTTCTCGGCCAATGCAGGGATCGAACACCCGACCTCCAGGCTAGCGAGCCAGCGTCTTACCCACTTAGCTACCGTGATCCCCGATATAACCCAAAGATCTTGGTTATTTGCACATATCGGATCGTAACTTCCCGAATTATGGCCCTTGACTGTACGAAAAATTGCATTTTTAGCTTGTGGTCCCTCTAGAGGTCACAATTATTATCCGATTTAAAAAACCATGTGAATATATCACCTTTACACCATAATGATGTTTCAGTTCGAATTTCGTGAAAATCGGACCAAAACTGACAGACAAAATGGCCGCTCCTCGTATAACACAAATGGTGTAAATATGTGGTATATCAAGGTTGTAGACCCTCTAGAGGCCACAATTTTTTTCCGATTTTGATGCAAACTTAAATTTATGCTTAACTTATATCACAAAGGTCTTGGTTCCTTTCGATATTCGCGGATATCGGATCGTAACTTCCTGAATTATGGCCCTCGATCATATGAAAAATTGCGTTTTAAGCTTGTGGTCCCTCTAGAGTTAACAATTTTTATCCAATTTAAAAAAACGTTTGAATATACCACCGTTACACCTTAATGATGGTTGAGTTCGAATTTCGAGAAAATCGGACCAAAACTGCCAGACAAAATGGCCGGCCCTAGTATGCTAACAGTGTAAAAATGGTATATCGAGGTTGTGGACTCTCACAATTTTGATCTGATTTTGATGAAACTTGAAATGCATGTTTATAACCCAAAGATCTTGGTTGCTGTCGATATTCGGGCATATCGGATCGCAACTTCCTGAATTTTGGCCCCTGATTGTATGAAAAATCCTCCTGTATTCAACTTGTGGTCCCTCTAGAGGTCACAATTATTATCTGATTAACAAAAACGTTCAAATATATCACGGTTACACCGTAATGTTGGTTGAATTTGAATTTCATGGAAATCGGACGGACAAAACTGTCAGACAAAATGGTCGCCCCTTTACGCAAATAGTGTAAACATCTGGTATATCAAGGTTGTGGACCCTCTAGAGGTCACAATTTTGATCCAATTTTAATGAAACTTGAAATGCATGTTTATAACTCAAGATCTTGGCTCCTTTTGATATTCGCACATATCTGATCGTACCTTCCTTAATTATGGCCCTTTATGTTACGAAAAATCACTTTTTGTTAAGCTTGTTCTCTATCCATCTCTTGAAAAATGGTTTCTTTTGTCGTAAGCAGACTACATATCTGTTTTGACAGCTTTTACTACGACTTTTCGTATGCGGTAATGAATTTCGAGGCCTGATGGCAATGTTGGTAATATGACAAAAGCCATTCACTTCAAAAGAAACTAACCTGACTTCTAAGTGCATCTGCTAATTGTTTTCTAGTGAAGTTTGCTGCTGCACTGGGTGAAAGTTCATAACCTGAAATATTTTTTAATATTTATTTTTCTTTAAACCTTAAACAAGTAATCAGCTAATATATATTGCTGTGACAAAACATATCTTCTTCTTCTACTTTTAATTAATTCTGGCATTTTAATCAAATACAGAAGTTGATCTAATGTTTCTTTAAGCTTACACATGCAATATTATCTTTAAGGCCGGGTGTGGATTTGCTCTTTACTTTAATTCAATGAAAACATCTAGGGCGTACTCGATTCAACGTTCTGGAATTGAATTCTCTCAATCCCAAAAATAGTGACAATCGAGTGAAAATGGGTACTTCGGGCTACAACGCATGCGTCAACTGGATATATAAATATCTCATCCAACCATGCAGCCGAAACCTGTTCGTCATGTTTAATTACGTCACAATTCTACTCACACCACCTCCGTTGTCAGGACTGACAGAACTGTGACAGGGCTGAATTCCGCGTCACTCGATTGCAATTCTGTCAATTCGGGACGTTCCGGACTGTGAATCGAGCATCCCCCTAGTTAATATACATACCATTTCTCATTTTGTATAATTGAATATTCTTAGCTATGTATTCAGCAAACTGAGCTGTGTCTCCAGATTCACCACAGACTAGCATTAATAGTTTATCACTGAGAGGAAACATCTTATCTTGATCTAAGCAAAAGAAATATATATTTACAAGGTACATTTTAGAATATACATGTACTCTTCAAAAAAAGTAGGAGATATTGAAATGCAATTCTATGCAGGTTGTGATATGATAAATAGTCATGGACACTTGACATGCTTTGAGAGTATGTTCACAGATGAAGAACTTATCACCCCAACAGAACCACTGAGCTGCATGTGCGACACACGGGAGGGGTTCATTGTCAAATTTGACACTTCAAGGAAGGGTTGATGAAAATTGAAAACTGTCGCTTACTGGTTTATCCTATCCATGTTTGCTTTCCTATCGGTTCTTGCATACAATTTACTGTTTAGCGTATCTTTGCTTTAATTTGATCGGGAGATGTGTTCGTCGACGTCAACGTCAACCGACAACACTGCAAGAGGAGTGGGTCAGACTGCCCCAATTCGTGATTGGACAGTTGATTAGGAGCATGCCACGACGAATGTCTGAGGATTGGTGGAGCAATTACTCTTTTAAGACAAAAAATCAAAAACGTCCATTTTCACTTTTGAGTGTATCTTTTTGCGAGAGAGAGAGAAATAGGTTTAACGTCCACTCGACACAAACCAGGTCATTTCGGGACTAACATATGGTTTAACTTTATTTCAATAATTCGCTTGCGCATAGGGGTCTTTAGCAGTGGGAGGACCCGGAGAAAACCCACGAGGTTGGACAGGCGACCCTACTCCTTGTCATGTATAACCGGGGATTCGAAACCACGCCAGTCGACTCAATGACAGACTTTATGATACAGCGCGCACACGCTAACCATTCAGCCATCCAACCCCCTTTTTGCGAGGTTAAATGGAGCTTTCAGATAAGCCGCCCATATGAACTGTTTATGACCATGTGTAGGCAATTGGCCTGTTATTATCATACACTGGTTACCTCTAATAAAAACAGCAGTGCATTTCCGCAGTTTTGTATTGTTTCTGAATATCCACTACTTTTTTTGAAGAGTATATTAACACAGGTTTCAAGGTAAAAAAATTAACAAGGACAAATATTAGCTTTGTTAAAAAAAGTTTCCAGTAAAATTTACAGGGGAGTTTAAAACTTTCAACAAAGAACCGATCGATGTGTTCACGAAAGGCGCCAGTTACATGTATCTCGTTCACAACCATTTGTTAAGTCGTACATAAGGTATTAATTATGTTGTCGACAACTAATGGTTATGTCTCCACAACTAATACTTGACTTGTACACACATTAATTACAAGCATGGAATAAATAAGTTTTACTCATCGGTTGTTTTAAAATATTGTTTTATTTACCCAATAATCAACAAGCTTGATTGACTGATGTTTTTGTAAAAAAGTAGCCCTGTATTGTTTGTTGACTGGCGTTATGATTTTATTAGACATATATGTAATAAATACAAATCGAAGATTAGACGCGCCACGCTGGCAATTAATAATTAGACATCATATATCGACTTGATATGAAATCTGAATATAAAATAATCGACGCATAAATGTTTGTGAATGATGTCTAACATCTTTTATCGTCTTAAAGATAGGTTGCCAGCCAACAAAACATACACCCACAGCAGCTAAATCGTCCGAGCGATCGACAAGGGTTGTTGCATATTTATTCGTTTGTAGGTAATTAGTGGCATTTAATAGAAAATTTCATACAGATGACATTATAATTTTCGTCGTTTGAGGGTTCACAAGGTTCTAAAAACTAAAACAAGGGCCATAACACTGGAAGTAATCTACAGAAATTGTTGAAATTCGACAGGCTTTTATCGTTTTACTAATACAGATCGGATGATAACTTTTGTCGTTCGAACCTTCACAAGGTTCAACAAAGTAAAACAAGGGGCATAACTCTAGAAATAATTGACGGAAATTGCTGAAATTCAATAGGCTTCTTCATTTCACTAATTTAAATGATGCATATGAATTTCATACAGATTGAGTGATAACTTTTGTCGTTCGAGTGTTCACAAGATTGAACAAAGTGAAACAAGGGCCATAACTCTAGATGTAATTAACGGAAATTTGCTGAAACTCAATAGACTTGTTCGTTTTACTAATCTAAACGATACATATAAATTTCATACAGATCGGATAATAACTTTTGTCGTCCGTGCATTCACATGGTACAACAAAGTGAAAAAAGGGCCATGAATCATCCGATTGCTGAAATTCAATAGGCTTCTTCGTTTCACTAATTTAAATGATGCATATAAATTTCACACAGATCGAATGATAACCGTTGTCATTAGAGCATTCACAAGATTCAACAAAGTGAAACAAGGGCTATAACTCTAGATGTAATTAACGGAAATTGCTGAAATCCAATAGGATTTTTTGTTTTATTAATTTAAATGATGCATAAAAATTTCATACAGATCGGCTGATAACTTTTGTCGTTAGAGTGTTCACAAGGTGTAAGAAAGTGAAACAAGGGCCATAACTTCAGAAGAACTTGAAATGTTATCTAAATTATTAAATAGACATTTATTAACTTATCCAGACCATAATCAACTCTCAATGCCATCGCTAGCCTGCAATGTTTATTGGATTAGGTTCCGATTTGCTGTTCAACTTCCATTCATGATTTAATCATGAAATGGATAATCAAGACTATGTTTTTTATGGTACCGACTTTAGTAATGATGATTACGGGTAGGACGAATATTCAATCGATAAAATCTTGGTTCAGAGTGGATCAAATTGACTGAAATTTTCAGCAAATTCCCTTTACATTATCTAGTTTTTAACTATAATAGTGAGAACTGCCAGCTTTTTATCTAATCTCCCATAATGTATCTTTAACTAGGTACGCCAGTGAAGGGATGAACCGCTGGCGTAATTTCGTTGTCGTGAGTCACGCCACAGATATGCCAGTGCGATTTGCATATTTGCTTTTCTTCCTTGTCGGATTCAAATGTGGTTATTTTCGTAAATAAAAGACTAGCTTTTCGCCTCGTTTTCGAATTTTTACTCTAGCTGCTCCGTGTGCAGAGAAATCTAAACATCAAAATGAAAGTAGAAAACCACACGATTTTTGGAACGGATACCAGAACAGCATAGGGTTAATAATATATTGATTTGAATATACATATATTAAACTTTAATTCTGCGAGTTTTCAATGAAATCGGTAGGTGCAGAGCCAAAATATGTAGTGCGGAAAATTTTTGATCCAGTTTCGACATGACCGCCATGTAAGAAAGTTAGTGGAATTTTACCGCTAGCGATTGCCTCACTTTTCCTTCTTTGTTCTTCAGACAAAAAGTGTGTTAATTAGCGACAATTAATTAGGCATAACTATATTAATATAGGGCATTTCAAGCTCATTTTGGTGTCATTGTAAAGCTAAGCCCTATCCAGCAATAAAAGAATTAAAGCCATACGTGATAGTTTAATTTTTGTTGTCATCCCTACTTTAAAGGAGCTAAATCGCTAATATTTGGGACCTAGAAATTGACAAAAATGGGTCGCAACTCATATAATAATGTAATGTGAATGTATATAAACTGATTTACTTTCAACCGTTTCTTTTTTTACTGTAATTTCTAATCAGTTATGCTCGGCGAATTGAATGACAATATTTTGCGTCTGGTTATTCCAGTCTACACCGATGATGTTTATTGTGCATGCTCTCCAGATAAGATTATAGCGACTCCATTTGACATGACTTGTGGAATATGTCTAGCCGCGTTCTTTGAATCCCTTGTTCCAAATGGCGCTGAAACGCATTATGGTACACGATTCGTGTACCAATGGTAAAACTTTTATTTTGTCTTGAATATTGGATATCAGAAGCCCATAAGTTTTCCCTGTAAGATCACAAGACCAATTTGAATTGACAAATAATTTGTGTTTTCAATGTCGAAATTTTTTTATGATATTGAGTTAGAGACTTAGCTACTTTAACTAAGCTTTTTGTGTGGACGAGTTTGCTTGTGAATGTGGACAGGTTAACTGGCATTCTTCATGAACACTGGTCAACTACTGAACTAGTCACATTAAAAGGTAAAGACCAACGATTTTCAACACCCGTAACACCAGAAATATATTTTTGTAAGCGCGTACCGGTAAGAAATTTTTGTAAGCGCGTAATTAATTTTCTCTTAGATTCTACAACCGGAATACGTTATTATGCATTCGAATCCAATATGGCAATATTGAATAATATATTTTGATTTTCTCCAGTCCAGCCTCACTCACTGACTCAGTCTTAGAGCCTCTAATCCAACAAGTTAGATGTTACTCTTTGATATTCTGAGGACGTAACATCTAACATCCGAACGGTCAAAAGCTCGTCGCAAAAGTTGATAACTAGTTTACTTCTTTCAGCGGACGGCAAAATTCACAATTTTCAGTTATCTGCACTGCTAACACATTAAACTTACATATCATATCCATCTATGTTCCGAAAAATATCCTTTGCTGTCTATTTTAAGAGATTTCACAAAAATCTTCGCCTACAAGCAACAAAACACGGTGAAACAGGAAATGAACTACATTGGCGAAAGTTGAAATCTGGCATGGTGCACATTACGAATGGAATTCTTTAAACGAAACGAAATCATAAGACTATAATTTGAAGGCGATCATTTAAAAAAAAATTTTGTGATGGTCCAATTATCGGTTTCACTATTCATTAGCCTAATTGGCTAACAAATTTTACCGATATTTGCCACTCGGCCCGTTTATTTTAGTTGCCGTATGTGTGATACAAGACTCAATGCTTTATTACAGATATATTCAACTCTATAGATAGAAAATGCGGGAAAATGTCACGTGACATTGACAAGACAGAAGCTATCATAAGCGATGAAACATTCTACGAACGCCGACAAATTTAAGGATTTATATTGTAATCAACATTTAATAACATTTTATAAATAATAATCTCAATCATACCGCCTTCGCTAGAATTTACCACAGCATAACGGCAAAACTGTAGTAAAAAGTAAAAGCTGAAGCAAACACTGACTGCCACGGTACCAGTAATAAAAATAGC